CCCTGTGTTACTTGTCAGTAATAAAGAAACTTATGAAGGAAAAAATGGCGATTAAACCATACTACACTGGCTATACTATACACACAATATCTGCTAATGTCACTGATACGTTTTTATCATATGTGACGTCATACTGTATCCGTATTTGTCAAGGAGAACAATGTTCAAAAGCACCCTGTGTTACTTGTCAGTAATTAAGTAACTTTTGAAGACAGAAAAGGCGATTAAACCATACTTCACTGGCTATACTATACTTGTCTCGGAGAACAATGTTCAAAAGCATCCTGTACTTGTCATTAGTAAAGAAACTTTTGAAGGACGAAAAGGTGATTAAACCATATTACACTGGCTATTCTATGCAAACAATATCTGCCAAAGTCACTGACATGTTTTTATCATATGTGACGTCATATCCCTATTTGTCAAGGAGAACAATGTTCAAAAGCACCTTGTGTTACTTGTTAGTAATAAAAAAACTTTTGAAGCAAGAAAAGGCGATTAAACCGTACTACACTGGCTATACTATACACACAATATCTGCCAATGTCACTGACATGTTTTTAGCAGATGGGATGTCATATTCCTATTTGTCCAGGAGAACAATGTTCAAAAGCGCCCTGTACTTCTCAAGAGTAAAGAAACTTTTGAAGGACGAAAAGGCGATTAAACCATATTACACTGGCTATTCTATGCAAACAATATCTGCCAAAGTCACTGACATGTTTTTATCATATGTGACGTCATATCCCTATTTGTCAAGGAGAACAATGTTCAAAAGCACCCTGTGTTACTTGTCAGTAATAAAGAAACTTATGAAGGAAAAAATGGCGATTAAACCATACTACACTGGCTATACTATACACACAATATCTGCTAATGTCACTGATACGTTTTTATCATATGTGACGTCATACTGTATCCGTATTTGTCAAGGAGAACAATGTTCAAAAGCACCCTGTGTTACTTGTCAGTAATTAAGTAACTTTTGAAGACAGAAAAGGCGATTAAACCATACTTCACTGGCTATACTATACTTGTCTCGGAGAACAATGTTCAAAAGCATCCTGTACTTGTCATTAGTAAAGAAACTTTTGAAGGACGAAAAGGTGATTAAACCATATTACACTGGCTATTCTATGCAAACAATATCTGCCAATGTCGCTCACATGTTTTTAGCAGATGGGATGTCATATCCCTATTTGTCCAGGAGAACACTGTTCAAAAGCACCCTGTACTAGTCAAGAGTAAAGAAATTTTTGAAGGAAGAAAAGGCAATTAAACCATATTACATTGGCTATTCTATGCAAACAATATCTGCCAAAGTCACTGACATGTTTTTATCATATGTGACGTCATATCCCTATTTGTCAAGGAGAACAATGTTCAAAAGCACCCTGTGTTACTTGTCAGTAATAAAGAAACTTATGAAGGAAAAAATGGCGATTAAACCATACTACACTGGCTATACTATACACACAATATCTGCTAATGTCACTGATATGTTTTTATCATATGTGACGTCATACTGTATCCGTATTTGTCAAGGAGAACAATGTTCAAAAGCACCCTGTGTTACTTGTCAGTAATTAAGTAACTTTTGAAGACAGAAAAGGCGATTAAACCATACTTCACTGGCTATACTATACATACAATATCTGCCAATGTCGCTGACATGTTTTAGCAGATGGGATGTCATATCCCTATTTGTCCAGGAGAACAATGTTCAAAAGCACCCTGTACTTGTCAAGAGTAAAGAAACTTTTGAAGGACGAAAAGGCGATTAAACCATATTACACTGGCTATTCTATGCAAACAATATCTGCCAATGTCGCTGACATGTTTTAAGCAGATGGGATGTCATATCCCTATTTGTCCAGGAGAACAATGTTCAAAAGCACCCTGTACTTGTCAAGAGTAAAGAAACTTTTGAAGGACGAAAAGGCGATTAAACCATATTACACTGGCTATTCTATGCAAACAATATCTGCCAATGTCGCTGACATGTTTTAAGCAGATGGGATGTCATATCCCTATTTGTCCAGGAGAACAATGTTCAAAAGCACCCTGTACTTGTCAAGAGTAAAGAAACTTTTGAAGGACGAAAAGGCGATTAAACCATATTACACTGGCTATTCTATGCAAACAATATCTGCCAAAGTCACTGACATGTTTTTATCATATGTGACGTCATATCCCTATTTGTCAAGGAGAACAATGTTCAAAAGCACCCTGTGTTACTTGTCAGTAATAAAGAAACTTATGAAGGAAAAAATGGCGATTAAACCATACTACACTGGCTATACTATACACACAATATCTGCTAATGTCACTGATACGTTTTTATCATATGTGACGTCATACTGTATCCGTATTTGTCAAGGAGAACAATGTTCAAAAGCACCCTGTGTTACTTGTCAGTAATAAAGAAACTTTTGAAGGAAAAAATGGCGATTAAACCGTACTACACTGGCTATACTATACACACAATATCTGCTAATGTCACTGACATGTTTTTAGCAGATGGGATGTCATATTCCTATTTGTCCAGGAGAACAATGTTCAAAAGCGCCCTGTACTTCTCAAGAGTAAAGAAACTTTTGAAGGACGAAAAGGCGATTAAACCGTACTACACTGGCTATACTATACACAAAATATCTGCCAATGTCACTGGCATGTTTTTAGCAGATGGGATGTCATATCCCTATTTGTCCAGGAGAACAATGTTCAAAAGCACCTTGTGTTACTTGTCAGTAAAAGAAACTTTTGAAGACAGAAAAAGCGATTAAACCATACTACACTGGCTATTCTATGCAAACAATATCTGCCAATGTCACTGACATGTTTTTAGCAGAGGTGACAAAGTATTCCTATTTGTCCCTGTGTTACTTGTCAGTAATAAAGAAACTTTTGAAGCAACAAAAGGCGATAAAACCATACTACACTGGCTATTCTATGCAATAGTATAGTTAGGACTTCTGATTAACAAAAAAAGACCCATTATTCAAGCTTTATTTACTTCAAATTTCAAATATTCATTTAGGAATGCACCTTTTATTTTCATTATTAATAATAATTAACCTTATTTAAAAAAGGTAAAACATGTTGAGTTTAAAACCTAAAATTGTCTTCACAGCCTTTTAAAGCAACAACAGGCGATTAAACCATGCTATGATAAGATTTATTTGGGTTCAAAGCTGAGTGACTCTGAAAGTATTCTATTCACACTTACTTGAATGAAGTCAAAAGTAAAAGATGTGTTGGCGTTCATTAGGTGTGTGTGAGATATTTTCCAGAGTTTCTCAGCGGAAAGTAAAAAAGCTACACATGAAAAATTGATATTTTGACTGGCAAATTGTTATAAATATTGGATAAAAATTGAATACAGACAACCTTTTAATTTTGAACTGAAGAAGGCAGTAGTGTTGTTCACTGACACCAGCATCACTCACTGATAACTGGTGGAGTGACCAACCTTTTAATTGTAACTATTAAAAGGAAAGATCCCAGAAAATGAAAAAAAATATTCACCAAGAGAAACAAGGTGCTATACAGCGGCAAACAGAAAGACTGACAGAGACAGCTTAAAAGACAAATTAAGAGCAATTAGTGAGGATGCCAGTGAGTCAGAAGAAGAAGCTGTTAAAATAAGTACACAACTGACAATGGCTATAAGAAAGCCAGTGGGTGCCAATATCTTTCATATTGATGGTTTACCACACCAAAAATTATTAAAATCTGTTCACCTTGCCACTTTCTGATCGATTTGCCTGGTTTTCTCATGGACGCACTCTTAACATCTAGTGGTTAAACATACAAGTGGTTAAACCTGAAGAACTTCTTCCACCAGTTAAAAAAAAAGGGTTTGTTAAATGCAATACTCAGCATTTTCTATCTAAAACGTCTGAATTGTTCATCACTAAATTTGTAATAATATTGTGTCTTCCAGGGTTTTTCTGGTTTCTCTATAATTTGCTTGCCTTTTGGAAACATGTACTTTTGCAAAGCTTGAGGTATGCTAATTGTACCATCCTGGAAATAAATAAAAATTCAACTCACAACCAGTACAACTTATAAACTCTAAAATAGCACTGAAATAGCATTGCCTTTGAAACCGGTAATCATATTATGTGAAAGAGAAAATGAAGTTCAGTGATTTCAGGATTTTCATTATTTTAATTTTTTTAACCACATAACAATAGCACCACAACCAGGTAATATCCAATTCATTTACACTTTTGTTACAGATAATTTTCTTCCATACACAGAAAAAATATTACAGCATTGAACTTCTTAAGCTGTGCTCTGCACTCAAAATTAATAAATGACATGTTCTTCCAACAACAGCCTAAAACATATCACCACCCCAATGTTTCACTGTCTACAAAAGACACTTACATCAATAGCATTTATTTCAAGTAACATTCATACTGATTAAAATACTATAGCTTTAAAGAATATACCTCATTTTGACTGTTCTCAACAATGGCCATAATAAGTCTGGGCACAGCACAAGCAGTTCCATTTACCTAGAAGAAAAAATGACAAATTCTAAACAGAAAATACATGAACTAGACAATTTGTTTCACCGGTGACGTACAGCAACATACAGCAACACACTTTTTTCACATAATATGTGGTCATACCTACTGTGAAACTAGGAATTGAGAAGAGTGAACTTGAGTAAAATCTCTGAATAAGCCCCATACTTACAGTGTGCACAAATTTCTCACTACCGTCTCTTGCTCTGTACTTGATGTGAAGCCGTCGGCTCTGGTAATCAGTGCAGTTGGAGGAACTTGAAATCTATAATGTGACAAAAAATGTAATTCTTCAATTAACTAATTTTAACATATTTTACCTCTAATCCAAATTGCTGAATTCTTGTAGCTAATTTTATGAAAGAGGACTTTGAAAATTGCCAGTGAATAAATAAATAAAAAGATTCAATTTTGTCTTCCAGCATTTTTTCAAGGTAACCTATTGTAATGGAATATATATACATGTGAATTAAATACAATGTGAAGTACATTTTCCAGTTTGTAGCTTTATATACCACACTGTGTCCCTCACCTCTCCCCAGAACTGCTTCTCTGGCATCCAGGCTTCCATATCATACTTCCTGTAGGCCGGAGCACCAAGCTCTTCTGTAGGCATGTCTAGAATTCTGTATATTAAGATATTTTAAAATTTTACCTGATACTTGATAAACCTAATATTCCCTCTGCATGTATGTGTATACATATGTGAGTGTGTGCTAGCTCAGATCTAAATATTTCAGTCATCTGCCCTAAACTTCATTATATCAAATGCAGCTAGACTACTAAGCATCAACACAACAATATCTTGAACTTAGTGAACCAGAGAAACAACTACCTAAAATGCAGACCAAGTCCATCATAGAGATCTTCCTGTAGTTCTATAAACTCTTTCAACAATTCTTCACTTTCTGTTCCAGTTTCATCTGCTGTTACTCCAAACATCTCTACCTGAAATTACAACTCCACAGTCCAAAATGCACTTCTACTGGACATCAAAAAGGTTCCTATAATTTTTATGGAATATCAAGAAAGACATCTTGCATTTCTTGGTCCAAAATTCTCCCACCTTAAGCAGACAATGAGCCAATGTCAAACCATACTGTCAAGTTATATGAGATGGGGATATTCTTAGTAAAGCAGAAACACTGTAACTTGATCACGGATTTTGAGGCTCACTGATTGACCAAGTGCCAGTCATGTACAGTCAATTGTTTAAGGGAGCTGACCTCCCTGCTATCTAGGGTCTTTACAATCACTGCATGAGCCAGATCGCTCATCAATAAGTTAGCAATGTGTCTTAAATATTTTAAAATTATCCTAAAATATTGTGATCTTGTAATATAGAAGTTATAGACTTCGTGCTTCTGTCACCTCTCAGGTAGGTTCACCCTCAACTGGGATGATTTTAATATTAACTTAAAACCTCCCCCATTACCAATGATCATATAATCACAGGTTCAGGTTGAATCTAGCCAAGAGGTGACCTCAACCAAAACCAGTATAATTAAATAAATGAAGCTGCCACAGTGCAGTTACCACCCCTAATTTAACATTAAGACTCTGAATCCAGCTCCTGAAAATAATGCCTAGGACATGTCACAACAAAGCAATGATTACCTTTGTGAACTGATGTACTCTGTAAATCCCCTTTTCTTCCTCTCTGTTACTTGTTTCTGCCCTGTAGCACCGACTAACTGCACAAACCCTAGAAGGAACAACTTCCAAAACTCACAATATATCTTTCCGTCTCCTTGAGGGTGTAACATTCCAATGTGGTATTGTAGCAAGATACCAGTCTTTCAAAATAGAGCTTCTATTGATTTACTTTAGTAATGCAATATGAAATTCTTCCTTCGGGGATGATAAAAAGTCTACCTGTAGTTAGTGAATTCACTCTTACCTTTGTGGTAACTGGTCCAGGTCTAATACCCTGTTAGCATAAAATCCTGAAATCACATTCATTTTGAAAACATCAGTAAAAAAGTAAATTCGGAATAACAAGAAAGTGAATTCAAACATAGATTGTCCTTGTAACAAATGTGTTACCTGAATATTAACCATCCCTTATAAAAGCACTTAAAAATTATGGGTAAATATGATCTTGATACGAGTCATAATAAACTTGTTTCCTGAATGTACACAATATAAGTCCCTGTACATAAACTTCGTAGAGTCATAAGCCACATTACCTTATTTACATTATCTAAGATATTGCCTCTGCCAAAATGTCTCACCTCCTAATGCCATTTCTGCTGTGCCAGATAGGCAGATCTGTCCATGTTTCTCTTGATCAAGTGTGTATACCTGTGTCCTGTCTCCAGTGGTTTTAAAACCACATGCTTCCTGTGGAAATGAGTAAGGCCAATGTAAAGAAACTAAAAAACAGTAAAATAATATATAAAAAATGAAGAGCAGCTTTAAAATAAATAACATACACTTACATACATAACAAATAACTGGTTCTAATNATTAAAACTTTTTAAACATTGCTGTGAAGTGTTCAAAATGTTTTAATATTCTGAGATTACAAATAAAGACGCACTGTTTGATTGATATTTGTTTTATTGATTGCTATACCAAATGAATGCATGAAATAACCTTAAATAGATTTGGTAATATGAAGTATATCAATACATGACTTTTTTTTACATTTCTACGAAGTATTCACAATGCTTTAATATTTTGAGAGCATGGATAAAGACATATTGTTAGTTTGATACGTGTTTCTGTGGTTAAATTTGTGTTTCCAGCTGTGTACTGACAGCATTCCTTTACTTAAGCAGTTTTTTTTTTTTTTGGACTGTTTTTTTTTTTTTCGCCCTCTCGCACCGATTTTGGGGTACCCAGAGGATGTCATCCATAAAAATAAAAAAGTGTGGCCTAAAGTAAAATTATAGAAGTATCACTTATTCACTTTTTTCAATTACTTTAAACATACTAATAAAACTTTGTATTTACTCACAATTATGTCTGGATGCAGCATGTCAGGCACAGATATCAGTGTAAAAGACTAGAAAAAAATTAAAACATCCCTTTATAAGAAAAGTGGTCAAACGTGCCCAACACTAACACTTAATTTGAAAATTTCTTTAATATCATCTTAATGCCATATAAGAAAACAAAAATACAACACTCAAAATACACTATTATAATAACACAATTACTGGAATAAGGTATAAAATTAGTTAGATGACTTCTGAACTTCCGAGATAGCATCCTATTTACCTTATCTTGTCTGTTCAGTAATTTTGGCACAGTGTATTTTATCAGTGCTTGCTGCATCTGTGCTGCATCACCCTTGAGGTAGTAAGTCCTGTTACCTGTGGTTTGTCCAACATTGCTGTCAAAATAAGCCAAGGGTTGTAATTCTCTTTAAGTTACTTTATAAATAGCTATGGGGTTTATATAACAACACTTAGCAAATATGAAAATATGAGTACTGATGCAATGCAAATAACATAACCATGCTGTAAAATACATTATGGCTAAGAGCTGAATATGCAAAAAAAAAAAATTTAAAACTAAACTGTAGAATTTTGATTTCAATCATACAAATTCAATTTTCAGTTATCTAATACATACCGTACTTTAAGTAAATCCAACCCAGACTCTGCACTGCATAAATCAATGTGAGATTTGCATTTGAAATTGAACTCTTCAAAAAGAAAAAGATAAACATATCAATGTACAAAAAAAAATTTTTTTTGAAGTGTTTGGAAATTTGAATATAAGTAAACCTGTTAAACAATCAGTTTATATTCTAAATTAAAAAAAATTCTTTAAAAAGCTTTTCTTTATGTTTTTATCTTTAAGGATGTATTAATTGGGATATAGTGCACACACCTTTTTTCTCTCCACAAAGTTTAACCAATCTTGCTTTAGCCTCGTCACCAATGGGCTATAGACAATAAGAAAATCATAAGATGAAAAATGGGGAAATGGCTGTTCAATTAGATACACTGCTCATATCTATAAGTCAGCCATGAGCCTAGGTTTCCAAAAAAAATCTGAACCAGGTTTTATTGCAGATCTTGACGAATCTCAGGAACCATCAGAACTGAATTAAAAAATGCGGAAAAGCTCATGTCTGATAAGTTCAAGATATTTATATCCATCTATACTATATTCATTAAAAAGCTCATCCCTCAAACAATGAATGCTGTAAAGAAATTTCTTTTTCAATTTTCGGCAGAAAGGTAATTCAACTCACTGAGTCTGGATGGGAATTATTGGGTATAGAGGATGCTTCCTTAGTTATACTAGATAGGATGTTCTTCTTTTCTACATCCTAAAATGAAACAGGGTGATAAACATTAAAAGCTAGTAGCAACTTTAAGTCATCACTTTTCTGTCTAAAAATTTGAATTATAAAATAAAAAGTAGCAAATACTACTAAAAAGGACAAGATACCAATAATTTTTGAGTAGTCACTTGCTATAACACAAGCTAAAAATAGTCTTTAAAATGTCACACAACTTCATCTGGCATAAAAATATAATCTTACGTTTGAGGCTGCTTCATACTGTCTCTTCAATTCAATCTGAAAGAAGATGGTTGCATCTGTTATCTATTCTTTGTTACAAAATGTTAATTTAAAAATTATAACAAACAAAATGTAACACTCATTCACAAATGTCATCTAAATCAGTACTGGATTAAACTTTTACATTTAATTCCTTACAATATCAATTATCATGTGAAAAACATACCAAGTGTCCTAAATCAACTGATTCACCCTTTCTGTTCATGATGTTCTTCTGAATAATGTCTTTGTTGCAGGGGTCTAATAAATACTCAATGTTTAATTCTGGGGGATTAATGTGAAAGGAAATGGGTTTGGAAAGGTGTACAGAGTTTGAAAATCCCCTCAATGAATTTCGCAATGTGCCATTCTGTACATTTCTGTGAATGCAATTAGTCCTGTTAAACAGAGGATACTGTATTGCAGGAGGTATCATTCCCTGTTGCCGAGTTGATAAGTGTCTGACATAACTGCGGCTAAGATTTAGCAGACTTTGAGATTGCCATAGTTTGCATCTAAAATGATGTCCAAATGGTTGACAAATCATCTTCTGTTTGCTCTGAAAAGAATATATTCATTCATTATGGAAGTTAGAAGAAGCTCCAATGTATTGTACCTGCTAAAAACTAAGTTACTCACTACAGAATCAATGACTAACAAGACTAGATTAAATATATTTCAAATCAAAGTTACTAACGCAATTATTTTTAATAGTAATACTGTACGTGAAGAGCCAGACTGTGAACCAGATCAGTACATGTAACACGCAGTGAAGAGAAGGATATCGGCTTAATTTATGAAACGCATAAGAGCAGAAAAGAACGAAATTTATGCCTTACGTTTCAACAACAATGTTATGTAAACTCTTCCAGTACGTTCCAGCGTTCAAACTTAATAAGCTTTACTTCTTACAAGAATCAACAAATAATTGCGCCTTCGATCGTCTTGTCACGGCAAATTTTTTCACCTGTCTTGAAAAGTCAGCATGATTTCAATCTCCTAAAACTAAAGAGCAACACTGCAGATACGCGCCAAATCTTTTCGGAAATAAAGCATTTGAAGACCGTAAAAAATGATTTGAAAATATATCAGTAATCTTTTCCTCATTATATTGTTGAAAAGAAAACAAAATTTAATTTAGAGGTTAGTAGAACCCTATATTATTTGCTCCCATCTTGTGACACAGAAGCATCATGGGAAAAGTGGCACCACGCGTGTTTGTTTTGACAGGTGTGCTTCCCAGATATCGGTACATAAAAAATGAAGTGGGATTTCGTTCTGTATTTACGAAGTTGGATAGGGTTCGTAGGGCTTATGGCTATTGGAAATACCATTCAGTGCTTTTGGGATCATCAGTTCCTTGCCAGCAGACTGTACAATGGGGCTCCTAGCTCTGGTACTAACATGTAGCATTAATATTATTTATTATTATTATTTATATTATACATTCGTATTTTACGATATAAGTAATTTAAAACAGAAGTTAATAGATAAACAATAAACAGTGTAATTTTAACTCGTTATTCAAGTCGCTACACACGCACTTTGACTTCTTGTCAGATCAGTATACTGGAGGGAGGAGAGGGAGTGCAGGATACTTTCAGTATAATATTCCAACATTTTGTTACATTTTTATGCAAGTTTGTATTTCATGCATTTACTACTAGCACCCACCGTTGAGTTCGAGCTTATTTCCTGTCCAATCACGTGGTAAAATCCTGAATCCTGTGATTTACTGCTGCAAACCTCTGATAAATGAAAATGAGCGACTGACAAACAATTAATATATAAACGTGTATGGGTTTTCTTGTTATTCCCTTTTTGGTTTTGAATGCAGAACTCAACAATCCAAATTCAAGTTTTATTTTTAAAACTTTGGTCAACTGAAAAAAATTAGTAATAAATACATGTAACTGGACAATAAAAGATTGCTGGTAATTAGAAATTATATTTGCTTTAGCTTAACATTTGCTTATCAGGCCTATCCAACTACCAGACTCGGCACCAAATGATCCAGAATTCACCAGTAGATCAGACCACACTACCTGTTTTCAAGGTGTATATCAGATCGCATGAATCTAGATGAGATGCACTACTTTCCAACCCAGCTTTAGACCACGGTGGAAGTGAAGAACAAAAGATTCAGACGTGGTGTAACTCGTATAACCGCATGTTTCGCATGAATGCGTTATAACCGGCTAATGGACCTGTGGTCTAAATAAGATAGATCCCTCGTCAGCGAGGGTTATGTGACATCCACTCGTGCTTCGCACTCGTGTATGCCACATAACCCTCGCTGACTCGGGCTCTATCTATTACTACAATCATCGCTAACATCGCGCACCAGGCAAAATCGGTGTGGTGGCTGATACTCTGTAATGCGATCTGACACACACCTTTAAAACAGGTAGTGTGGTCTAATATACCGGTTTATTCTGGATCCGTAGGTGCCGAGTCTGGTAGTTGGTTAGGCCTGATGTATGAGCTTTCAGTGTTGAGTGAGAGTAACGCTTGAGTGCTCGATATAATTAAACCTCCTGACCAGAATAATGACCAGTTATGAATATGCATATTCATAATGACTAGTTATGAATATGCATGGCCTGCCCCTCCTCACCATTATCAATACCAAACAAAATTCTAATCTCATCCTAAAATAAAAATAATGCAAACAAAATTGTAATATCATCCTAAAACAAAAGTAATACTAAACGAAATTCTAATTTCCTTTTGGAAACAAAAAGTGCCTAGCATGCATAAATATAATACTATAAGGTTTTTATTACATATTATATTGTAGTAAATGGCCTGGCAGCTCGCTTGTTTGGAGTCTGGACACTTTTGGCTGGCATTCTTAGGATATGGTGTGCAATATTCACATACAATCGACCGTAAGTACATATAATATAAAATGTTATAAATAAATAGTTCTTTGATCTAAGTCTTGCTTCTCCTTTCACAAAATATCTCAAGACAACCGAAAGACTTAGCTAAACCATTGTAACTTAATTGTAATCTGCAAGAAACTGTAGTCCATTTTCCATTTCTTTGGCCTCATTCAGAATGGGGGACTAAGGCCCTATTCAGAACAGATGATTCGAGTACTTACTGATCCACCCTCTAAATATGGCGACCACAGATCAAAAGCAATCCCGCTGATTCCTAATGGTCTCCCTGACCCCACACACGCCTTTAAATGGATTAAATCTCTGCTCCGAGGTTTAATTGCTAGGCCCCTGCATGTGGAGGCGGGGAGACCATCAGGAATCAGTGTCATCACTTTTGAACTGTGTACTTTTAATGTATTTTCAGGTTGTATGATTTGACACTGTTCTCCTTTGTCCTAGCCTTTTTGCACTTTTCATCAGAGGTGTTCATCTTTAAAACAGCTCACCTAAGTGTAGGTGTTATGGCCCCATTAATTATATCTGGTGAGTTTGACCCATGGTACTGATCTATCTTTCTCCTTGTGGGGGCATTTCAGCACTGTCACACAATTCTAAAATATTTTGCTTTACAAAATTACATAAAAAAGTTTGTGTACTTCTATACAAATGGTTAAGAGATAGTCCAAAGAAATAATATTTTTAATTTTTGGGTGAAATTTGTCAAGGAAAATAGTAAGTAATTAAACCATGTAAAATGGTGGACATTCAGTGAACCAGATAAATAATTTTCTTCTTCAGGGATTTCATTTGTATTGATGGCAGCTGGATATGTTCCCATTTTTGGCTCTGCTGTAGAAGAAAGCAAGCAAGATGATGCAGAGGAGTTCAAAGACTTCTTGAAAACATTTAAATCGCAGTCAAGAACGAAAAAATCCAGTTGATATCTGTATATCTAGCCATGACGTGTTTTGAACAATTTTGGTGAAAACGGGAATAACCTTGCCTTGCTGCGATGCCAGTGCATAAAATAGACCAACAGAATCAAAACTTATAAGCTATACATTTCATTTATTCTTCTGATGCACATACCATTAACTTTCAATTGGTGCCCTTAAAAATATGTACAAAAATTTCTAAATAATCTAAACAAAGTTTTTATGTGCAAAATTTGTTATGCCTTATACTACCTGAGATAACTGCTGCCTTGGAATAAGAATTATCAGTAATGGATCCAACATATTATCACTTACAACATTCCTTCCAGAATTGAAGTTTGGTCAACTTTTACAAAAATCCCTGTCAAAATGGGCACATGTAGATGTATGATTGAATAATTAATTGAATGTAAATAAATGCCAACTACTGGCGAAATAAAAATAAGTATAATTCATTGCATCTTATGCAGTTATAGAATATACACAGGTTTATCTTATTTGACAGCCATTCACTCAAGTTAAAACAACCATTTACAAATTATATTTTTATACATCAAACGCAAAAATTCATTACAGTAGCATGTCTCACTCCAGTACAAAGCCCTATAATAACTGAATATCAAATGATTCAGAAATGCTATATTGCAGTCATGGACAAATAAAATATTTCATCAAGTGTTAAGGTTCCATGTGCCTTTGAGATAAACTTTGTATTGAATCTTCAGAATTGTATGATAAAAAAATATAGATATAAAACTTAATGGACATCAAACAAAAACAATACCAAATCCAGAAAATAAACACTCTATTGGAGACCAATAAATGAATGACTTCTTTTAATAAATAATATAAAAATTATTTACCAAAGGTTATATTTTGTCTTGTTAGAGATCGTTTCTGAACATGTACAAATGAAAAAAGTTGATATTTTATACTTCCTACAAGTCAAGAGGAAGATGCAAGTCAAACAAGTCATTGAAAAATGATCCCTCATTATCACCACCACCAAATATCAATATTTCTTCCTTGTCTTGGTTTTCATTTTTGTACGGCAAACACTGAATAGTGTGTCCCACTCTAGCAGGGATACCAAAGTCTATGTTTACACAAGTCCAAGCCATGGTGTCTAAAAATAAATTAAAAAGTAATAAATGTAAAATCAAATAAATGTATGTGTAAAATTTGTATTTATCATTTTGATCTTATACAAGTGTGCAAACACTAGGTGAACATCACTACTACTATGTGGGAAATGATTACAGCTACAGAGATAGATTATTTAAATCAAGGTTAACCCAAATTTATTAATTAACACAAACACCTCAAATGAAGATGATTCTACAAATTTAGAATGATTGTAAACCACAGAGACAAAGTCAGGCAGATTGTAAAACTCACCTAGATTAAAGATGAAGGAATCATCCATGGCATTATTACCATCATAGCCTCCATGAATCAGAACCCTCTTCCCTGTTAAGGCACAAGCAGCATGCCAGCTGCAAGAGGAAATTACCACATTTACTGGTTAATAACTATATTCCATGGAATTGTATTATTAATCAAACTTTAAATGGTCAGCTAGACCTCGTCTAATTGAAAAATCCCATTAACAACTAGAGTCCATACCTTCGTGGAGCTGGTGGAGTGCCATTAACATTGGGCTTGGTCCATTCAACAAAACCTAAGAAGAAAGCAAATCAAGTATTTATTGTCATTTCATCTATGTAAGCTACTATCATCAAAATGAATTCAGCAAATCTTAATCATTTATAAATATGTTTTTATATTTTAAGTCTTAAGACTCTCAACTTTAAAAAAGCTATCATTAAATGTCACAATTACATTTTAGCCACCATACAGAGGAAAGTGTAAATCAATTTTAAGTGTTTCTACACAGGACTGGGAATGCAATGCTCTCAAGTTGTAAAATATATTTTGTTTATCATGTTTTAAACAATATAATAATATAAAAAAAATTGAAACTGAAGCACGTTTTACAAGTAAAAATTGTATTGAGCTGCCAATCCTGTAAGAAGTCTGTCTTTTGCTGTTAGCCATCTTACCCATGTCAAGGATGTGTATGTCACTGAAGCACACTGGGAAATCCCAACCTCCAAATACCACCAGTTGATCTCCAATAATGGTTGCAGAATGCCTGAAGGTGATAGATGTAAGTTTGCAAATATTGAGAATCTTGTAACTTTTGATCAAAAGTGCTTTAGTATACAATAAAATAGTAGGAAGTGAAATCCGCAATTCTTGGTAATACGTCTTACCTGTTTAACCATAATGACAGTGAAAATCCCTAATAGTTTAATTCATGATTTTTTTATATAACGTAATAAATACTCCAACAAAGTCATACCCTGATCTTGGTTCTGGTTTCTCTCCAGTCACTATGGGATTATACCAACTTTCCATGACAGGACTGAAGATCTCTATCTCATTACTGCTCCCATCTGGTTGTGGGTCTGGTCGAGGGAATACGCCACCAAACATCCACAGTTCATGTCGGTACAGGGTTGCTGTGTGGTATGCCCTGGTTGGAGCTTTACCATTTGCCTTGAGAAAAAACATTTAAGATTGATTTGATGGACAGAGATGCAAAAATTAAGTGACAGGTTCTTTTATCCAAAAATGAAGTAGGCAAGCAAATAAATAATGACCAATAGCACCAAACACTTGTCAGTTCAATATTATTGACCATTAAGAGGAGTTTTAATTAAAATTTAAGAACGGAGGTGTGACTAAAAAAAAAGGGACAGCTCCCACATCATATCACAAGTTTTATAATTCTCACCTTTACCAGTTGCCACTTCAATTCGTCCAGTTCTAACACATGCACATCACTGAACCATTTGACGTTCTTGGACCCACCATATATATAGATGCACCTCATCACAGGGTCATATGTAGCAGTGTGCCCCATCCTAGCTTCTGGGTTTGGGCCAACAGATGTAGTCTTAAGAGGTCTCCACTGTTTGGTCTCTAATGGTTTAAATGAGTCCCAATAAGAACTTTTCAGTTGTGTAATGTAAAAAATATATATATTTAAGTGAAATGTCATATCTATTTGAAAAATTTTAAGAGCATGTGTACATGATTCGATGGGTCATCACCAGCTTTGTGACCTGGAGGATGGGTAGCTGATCTTACCAACAGAACTTTTTCCATAGATCCTGCCCTACATACCTAACTCAATGTCTGTCTTCAAGTATGTTAGTTTTTATTGTTACCAATTAAAGATAACTGGACAACCCTGCATAAAAAGTCCCAGGGTGCATACCAAATTTTCCATTTCTGCTTTTGAAAAAAATTCATTAAATTTAAAAAAAAAATTGAATCAAAGCTTCACTCCCAAAATTCAAATTATGATCTCGAAAACCCACTTTAATTCAATATTTTGAGTGTTGAATAAATTGGGGGATTTAGGGAGAAGTCTCAACAGGAACAATCAATGTCCTTCTTCATCTTATATTTAACACAACTGACTTGTCACTTAATACCTGTATCTTTATAAAGTGATTTACCTGTCTGAAGTTCCCAAATACTGTCCTTGCTCAACACTTGTTTGTCACCCTGTCCACCAATGATGATGGCATTTGGTGGCTCTGTGAAGCAGAATGAGTGACCCCATCTTGGACTGGGATGAGGACCTAGTATAATATATGCACATAATCATTAACCTGACATACAATGTGTATGGATTAATTTTTCAGAACTCGACACCTTGCATTGGCAAGTTCTTCATGGCTGGTACCGTACTCTCCAAAACCTTTTAGCACTCGCCAAAATTTTAGGTGCCATGAATACATATATTATAGTTTGTTTAATGAAATATAAGTCCTTTTTATTATGATGTCCCTTTTGTGGGAGAAGCATGTGATGCCTAAATTGAAAACTGTAATAATTACAAACAATATAAGTAGACTGTAGAGAGACACTACATCCCAATGAAGAACTGAACCCACAATTTCCTGACTCAGAGCCAAGCACTCTACCATTATGATTAAAGCAATACCACCTATTCATGTAGCAGTCCCAGATGCAAGATTTAACCAGTCAGAAACAATGTTATGTGCTACACATGGTTAGAGCATGTAAACAAATATGGTCCAGGCTGTGGTAATTCTAGTTTAAAGTTTCAGAAATCCTCAAAATATGGATAATAATATCAATATGGCATATTGACAGATAATATGACAAAAATGTAACACACATTTTAACACACATTTTTACTCCCAGAAAATCCACATTTTAACTCTTAGACAGCACTCGTCATTCTTTGCCAGTACTTACCAGTACAGGTTGGCACTTGCTATATTGAGTTGGCTATGTTACTGTTAAAAAATACTGTATAAAATAACTTGTTTATCCAACTTTAAAAAATTTAAAGAAACAAAAAGTCTTACCACCACTTTTACAGGATTTAGCTGATCTGCATACTTTCTGAATTTTCTTCTCAGATTTGGGAGATTCTTCTGAATGTTCTTTCAGAGAAAAAACATCTTTTAGAGGAGTGATTGCTGTATTAGGTTCAACAGCTGACATATCATCAGCAGAAAGTTTTTTAGTTGAAGCACTCCTTACTTTTCTCTTGCCTTTTGGTTTCTTGCTATCTTTAATGTTAGGGGTTCTCAACCCAATATTTAATTCCCCTGAATTTTCTTTTCCATGCATATCACATGTATCTGAGGAAATGTCTTTGTCTTGTTGAAACAACTCTTTTACTCCAGAAATGTCAACTGTAAGTGTTTCCTCTTTGACCAGCGGCTCTTTGGCTTCTTCGGGGCTTTTGAAGAATTCCTTGAGAGTTCTTACACGAGTTGATGGTCTCCGGTTATCTTGTACAGTGGGAGTTGACTTCTCACTGTTCAACTTCCTTCTTTTACTATCTTTTACTGGTCTTACTGGACTTGAAGACAGCTCCATCTGTAAAAAAATAACTTTTATAGTAATGACCTTATGTGGACTCAAAGTAATCACAGAAAGACAGGAATTCAAAATAAAATAATTAAAAAAATGTCTAATTGACAGAGAACAATCACAAGTTTTTTGAGCCAAACATTTGCATACAATGTAGATCACAGTTCATAGCTTGTTGGGATGTAAGATATGCTTGCATGTGCAGTACATGTACATGTACTATTATAGTAGGCATGGCTGCCAGTCCACTTGCTAATGTACTAGTACTAGTACAGTACTGTACCTCTTTCAGCACAGGAGTAACCTCTTGATGGTCTTTTAAATTGCTCTCCATGGAGGTAGATGTCACAGCACTGAAATAATGATATCACTAAGAGTAATAATTAAATGGGAAGGCAGAAAATACAGCTTACAGTGCACTGGCCTATTAATTCAACCTATTTTTTTTCTGAATATTCAAACAGATATACAGGATGCGTGATCAAATATTTGTCATCTTTAGGTCGTAGCTCTATATTGTTAACTTTAGTGCTTTACTAGCACCGCTAGAGTATGATTATTACTGCTACACCCCTTCCAATCTGTATTATCATTCAAATTATCACGACCCACAATGAAGGTGAACTGCTCACCAAATTGGCGGTTTACTTAACAGGTCACGAAAAGTGAAATCAATAAAATCATATGCACGTAATCTAACCTCAACTTAGCGCAAATGTGCTCACTGTCAATGATTAAAGTATCATTTCCGTACAAATTACTGAAGTAAACGAATGTATATATCTTACCTTGCAGTTGTAAATGGCGCGCACCGGCGGGTTTCCCGATGGTTGAGTTTATTTCTAAAAGGGGTTTAAGGTTATATCCATATCTTTAATTTTTTCCATTGAAATGTTTTGATGGGTAGGTTATGTTCTCTTTGCTGTAAACATACATCAAGTATTATGGATAAAGGGAAAAACAATGTATATCTCAATATACCTGATAATAATATTTATAAAGTATTGTGGACAATTTTTGCCACTTCACCCCTCTCCCACTTTTGTGTTCTGTGGCTGAGCCTCGATCTGTTTCACCTTATACATAACTTCGGTCAAATCGACCTTATCAATATCAACCACTCGGTAATTTTGCTTACTCATACCTGGAAAACAACATTTGAGGTGCAACGTTCTAGTGATGAAGCCAGTTAAAATACACATTATTTATTGGTAGGTATATAATCTAAGTGTTCGTTAGCTTCTTTTACAACCAGGCACCGTCGAGTACGCCCTTTTACGCTAAAGTAGTAAGGAGCCTCTACCTTAATTGTCTCACGCCATGTCATCGTTGTCAGTGATTTGGAAAGCTCATTACGGCATTAGAACTTGGCACGTTTCACTGTCATACGATCCCCAATACAGGTATATTCTTCCGCACGTAAAAACATCGACCATATTTTGGAGCCTTTTTCCTGAGCACGGAATGCCCTAGCTAGCTAGGCGGGATTATAAAACTGTCAAGAAAGCTTCAATAAATCATAAAGTGCTCATTCTCCTTTCTTTTGATTCAACTTCAAACAAAGATGTATTCCCCTAGAAAACTTAACGTGGTGAATGTTTTTGATGCGACTGGGCACAGGTATCTTTTCCTTTAATAGATATCTAGGGGACATATATATGTAGATGAGCTTTACATATTATTTTTACATGAAGATAAAAATTGCTTCCTGCCTGAAATACTAGTATATATGTGTTCAAATAACTTGGACTTGGATTTCGAATATAATTTCATATATTGCATTTTACTTTGAATTTGTCTATGTATAAAGTTAACTTTAATTTAGGAAAACCCCTTTGTGTTGCTTGACATTTCTTTTACTATGCCTTAGTAGAGTTAATCTCCAAACCATCACAAATTTTGATATAGTATACTAGTACAGCTGTAAGTATGCCAGATTCACTGTCCAGTTTGCTTATCATTTCAGTGGTGCCTGAGGGTATGCGCCAAAGGTGAGTATGCAAATGTTTCAACAGTTTTCCAAGATTCTTTTCATCTGGTTTCTCAAAGAAGTTTAGTGTCAAACTTGTACTGTAAGTTAACATTCCAGATTATAATCTTTATCTGTTGAGAAGTTAAGAAATGAAACCGGATTTGGATTTCTATTTTATTCCCAATAAGAAAAATAAAAGCAATTTATAATGTGAGATATATATGTACCAGGTCCAGTAAGGTCGCGCGTCAAGGTTATTTTCAGTTGCACCCTGGATTACGCACGCTTGCTCCGCAAGGTGTCGCCTGTGGTGGGGGGGCATCACAGCCCATATGGTTACTGTGGCGAAGGTGACAGGTACTTCCAAACATTTTTTCATAACTGTCATTTTTCCTTATTCTATTCATGAATTTGATATTTACGGCAATTGAAAATGTGGCACCGGCAAAAGTGAATCTAGGTGCGTTGACAGGCCGCACAGGTGTCCCCAATTAACCGCCGCCAGAGAAGAGACCCCAAGCATTAAACAACACAACCTATAGATATTGGAAATTTGGAGAAAGTTAAGCAACTGAGGCTTTATTAGATTTGGACAGAAATCGGGGGTAATGCCCAGTGACATGCCAAACCCCTAAGTTCAAGTCTTGGCCCTTGACACCTGTAACGCACCCCTTAGTCAAGAATCAGAACAAATCAATGTTGGGCAGGTACAGGGTATACTCTATTTTCTACAGGTGTTTTGTGATTTTATCAACTTGATTGTCGAGTGCCAGACCTTTTGTTCTCAGGTACTAGTAGCAAACTTTATCAGATAACAATCTGACACTAACCAAGCTGCACTAACAGCGCTGTAAACCCAGTTATCAATGCTGTCATCTTTACCTGTATCTTTACCGGTATTATGCCAGTGGTACGTTTGATACATTTGAGTAAGGAAATATGCTTTTATGCTTACATTCATTTGTAATACGTTAGCATCAACCTGTTAATAAAAACCTGGAAACTTTCAATGTTATTACACAATAACAGTATAATGATGGGAGACGTTATGATTAAATGCTTAGAAGAATAATAAAAACAAATTATGTGAAATATTAAATGAATTGATTTTATTTGGGTTATTTATTTATTTATTTCAAACCAATTAATTATCAAACATGAAGCTTATTTTAAGAAACATTCGCAGATATATGAAATATAACCCTGCTGGTACACAGATCTACAGTTCTAAAATGCAAATACCAAGTACCTTTCACACACCACTGATGAGATGTGAATAAGTAGTAAAAATATCACAAAATGTGTGTAAGCAAGATATTTCTACAAGTAACCTCATTAATCAGTCAGGAAACTTCATAATGCACCCAATAAATGTAGAAATTTGAGCAAGAGAAATTCTACATACAGGCATGACAGATTTACCATATATTGCCATCAACCCTTAACTGAATGGGCATAGAAAGAACAAAGTGAGTCTCCCTCCCATTAAAAATGAGAAATAAAAATAAATAAATAAATTAATAACAGATACTGTCATTCTTAATACTGAAAAACAATGGCACCTTGCAGCCTTCACTGCCTCACTATTTGCAGACAATGTTCTAGTCACTGTAACTGTGTACTTTTGATGAGGCATAGATGCAAGAATAACTTCTTTGAAGTATATTGTGAAGGTCTCTTTTGTCATAAATCTGCCACGTATAACCTGAATGTACATATTGGGATTCACACCGCAGCAGCTTGTCTTAGTAAGGACTCAACCAGTTTGAAAACTTGTGGCATGGCTTCAGGACAAGATCACACCATCTATTCTTGCTGTGATGATGGATCTACTAGTACATTATCTATGTCTTGTCCTCCTAGTTTCTCTAATACCATTTCCCCTGATCTATGCTCACATCAATCTCTACAGCTTTACCAACTGCTACACAGTTTTTACATCTGAAAGTATAAAGCAAAAATTGTAATAAAGCACTATCAATTTACTTGTTAGATATTGATTCGAGGGCAAGAGAAAAATGCAGAAACCTCATATCATAATCAAGATAACTGAAAATCAAATATGCATAATCAAATAAATAGCTTTAATTGTACATACTACTGATGATTTAATCTTTTAAACTTCAGCATAAATTTCTCTTGTTAAAGCATAGACACTTTATTAAAATGTGCTTGAACAAATAATAATAAACAACCTGCACACAAGATGGAACATGGAGATCAATTGCCACAAAATAAGTTGATTTGTACTTGCTAGCCTGAGAAATAGTATCAGGTATTAATTTGAGCAGTAAATTGAGTAATAATACCACAGAATTAACAATGACACAAGCATATGGTGTTGTGTAACAAAATTCATGCATTACTTGCTGTGGCAGTGTCCTCCTCAACCTATCGTGCACCGCAGGTTTTGATTTTCAATGTCATCAAAAATGTTTATTGTTGTTAGTTTGATTTACGTATCTGCTATTCAAATAATATCGTTTGGAAAATAACTAACTGATTTAATTATGCTTTTGCAACATGAAATCATCATTAACTTTGCCGGTTCACGTGTATACAGTACCTTGCTATCAGTGCTGCTCTTTTCTCCCTAACTCGTCACTGCCAGGCTAACCACATCGTTTCAAAACAACGTTGGTATGCTCCTTTACTTTTGGTGTTGGCAGTTTCGCCCCGGGGACATCGTTTTTGGTTAAAAACAACGTATCGTTTTCACCCATCTATACATTGCTCCTGTACAAAATGGCCGCTTGCTGCCCCCCCAAGGGAGAAATCGTAGCACGTGGGTAGTTACGCAAGACCTGTGACGTATAACGCGCGCAAGGTTGTTTAGTGAGCTCTAACAATAAGTACAGAGCATAATTCTTTTATTTCTTCTATCTTCTTTATTTCAGTTCCGGCGTCTAAAAGCAGACCTGGAGCAAGAATTTGGCACGGATGTGGTGATTGTAAGTAAAAAAAAAAAATTGGTCTGTTAATTTGCATATTTATATTTGTGTGTAGGGCATTATCTGATATTGAAAATGTTTAAAATCGCTACTGCTATTTATTTTTAAACAGTTATTTTTATTTTCACAAGTAGTGCTTCCAGGCCAAGAGAATAACAATTACTGATTTTTCTTAAAATGTTGATGTTAAAGAGGGCATTGCTGAAAATCAACCTTTGTTGCTACATGTTTATTTCCAATATTATATTTTCATTGTTGTGTTATATTGTGAAATGTAGCATTGGTTATTAAATTTTTGTAAGACATGATAAACAGAACATAATAATTTGACTCATTTCGGTAAGATTTGATAGTTAAAAAGTTTGCCATTCAGTTTAGATGCACATATCTCATTATCAGACAGGTGAAGGGACTCCTCAAGCCACTGGCTATTTTGAAGTGCAGATAGAGAATGGAAAGCTTCTCCATTCAAAGAAGGTAAGAGATACATTTTTTGTGAAACTTTTGCTGGATACAGGATGTACCAACTGTGCAAAAGCATTTGCCTGCAGAGTCTAAGAATAAACTGTTTATTATTGAATAATCACAAAAATTGCATTCATTGTCTTGAGTTCACAAACTGATCATAAGAGCCACATGACATATTTTTCTTATTAGCTTCACTTTGTCATTGGTTTTATGTTCAAATCATCATTAACTTAATAAGCCTTATTAGTAAATTGATATCATGTTCTTATAGAATGGTGATGGCTATGTGGACAGCGAGGCCAAATTTCATAAGATTACCAAAGGTATTGAGGAGGCTTTAAAATCCTAGAGGACCACATTCACAACTACAAGGGTGAGCACATATTTGAAAGACACCTATTTTATACCCGTTCTTTTGAAATATATATATATAATTTTTGAAGATTTTGGTACATAATTATATTTATACTAGGAGTGTTTAATTCATATATTATGTGACATGGTTCATTTTATGAAAGCCTTTCTTTTGTAGGTTTGACCTGGTTCTATTTGATCAAGTCGGCTTTCTATGATTGATTAGTCTGAAAGTTTCACAAGGACTATTCCTGATGCCCCAAGCTGGTTTGACACAAGATGATAACATGGACAAACTCTTGTTGATATGTTTGTTCAATACAGTATTATGAAATGCTGATAAAATGTAACGTAATCTCAGGAAGTATTCAAATGTACGCTTTCTCTAATCTTTTTTCTCTATGAACTGTGATACAGCTGCAAGTGTTGCTTTTAAAATGAAGAGTTTGTCAATTTTAACATGATCAACTGTGCTGTACATTAACACGAAGTTTCATGCGTTAGCGCTCCTATATTCCGTACCTGTTATGTGCTACGGTATTTGTTTTAACACAAGATAAATAGGAGTACTTTCAACTATAAAGCAAAGACCAGCTAGCAACTGCGCTTCGTGTCGACAACTCTTTTAAATCTGCTCCCCTGTCACTTCAGGGGTGTGCGGCAGTCTTGCTGTCGACAGCCCTGTGAATAAGTTGAGTAATGTGCTTGACCATTAGTTATGCCGCCATGAAATCATACGCCCATTGAAGGTTGCTATGAACCGATGTCATTTTACCGTTATAATAGGCAACCCCTACACTGACGAGAGAGTCTGCTAGTAGTCTATTACAAAATTGTTGTAATATTTTTACTTTAATTTTGTATACTACTTAATTTTAGAGGTTCTTGATATCTGAGGGTGGGTAACCCCTATATTTCATGCGTTAGCCTAGTTGGTTCTTCGATTGGACAGATTAGAGATCTAAGCAAGAGTTGCGCTTACGCATGGAACTTCGTGCAATCTTTATGTCCGTCTTTTGATAAATTTTGCAACGGCTTTAAAATATTTTATAATGAAAGTTTTTACGTTTAGAATAGATGAGGCATGTTCAAATTTATCAATTTATATGGTGATCCAAACGCACACCTCCCGAAATAAAAATAAATACAAAATAACATTCGTCTTTTATATTTACTACAATGTAGTACATTTTATATATTTATTTGCTCAATACAGTGCACAGTTATCTATTTCTACAAATAAAAATAGCTGGTACATATATAAATATATTCAAATATATATATACACACATAAATTCAAATATCACAAATTTCCTACATATAACTTGGGTCTTTTTTCAATGATATGTCCTCTTTATCAAAATAACATGGAACGTGTAACCCATTCAGTTTTTGCCTATTGTATTGAGCATGTAGCAGATTTGGTTGCCGTTTGCAAGTGGGGAGAAAGCTTCGATCTTTTGTTACTACTTAACCTTTCAATAACCTGAAAAAAAGGTAAATAGTCAGTGTTTTTTATATGCATCGATTTTTATTCATGCCAATAAAGGTCAATTCACTTTCTTTTTCCAAAGTGCAGGAAATGCGATGGTTAACTTTCTTTGCTAGATTTAATTTACATTATAACTTCATGCTTCACACCTTTGAATATTTGACAAGACCAGCTCTGTAATGATTCAGTTCGTACAATTTGATTTGAAACTTTGCTCACAACCGTATTGATGTTATGACGGCACTTACCGTTAGAACTTCAAGGAAATCCAGGTAGCCGTTTTTATCCGTGTCTATGCTTTCTAAGATTTCTTCAAGTTGTTTTTTGGTAAACATCATGTTATTTGCCGTGAGAATATTGTCCATTTCCGAGAGGTCAATCACCTGGAGATAATATTGAAAAGACATGCATTAATTACATAAAATGTTGCTTTCAAATGGAAGGGACTGGACTTTTCATATCGTTAAACACCATAGGGTTTACCGACCTTTATTTTGGAAGTCATCAGATGATTTCCATTCTTTCTCCACTTTTTTTTAATTATTGGGGGTCTCGGAAACAGTACGCCCCAGAATAACGTATTTACGTCTTACTCACTTGGTCTCCATTTGTGTCAGCCGAAGTGAATCTTTTTTCAGCATCCAAAATTAAAGACAAGCTCAACCCTGGAAAGTGCTCTGCCAGCATCTGACAACATGGAAAAATGGGATAATATTTAGTTTCATTCTTTTCAAAATTAAAGAAAAATTGAAATCTATTCTTTGTACCCTAAAAATGATAAAAACAGAGATATCACATTGTATTTAAGGTAAAACATTAATAAAAATATATAAATTATGTAACCAAAGGCACAAGTNTGGTTAAAAACAACCTATCGTTTTCACCCATCTATACATTGCTCCTGTACAAAATGGCCGCTTGCTGCCCCCCCAAGGGAAAAATCGTAGCACGTGGGTAGTTACGCAAGACCTGTGACGTATAACGCGGGCAAGGTTATTGCACACATTGTAGATATAAATGCATTTTGAGCAATAAGACGAATATATCTTATGAATTTTATATTATTGTTATATAGCGTTGTTGTTGTCTGCTTTTCCCGCGGCTTTAAGTAGGTCACCAGAAACTATCGCTCGATATCGCGTGACTATGCAATGTCAGAGAGGGCTCCGTCAGTTAAAATCTCTTAAGAGATTTTAACAAAAAACCAAACATTTAGGAAAAAACCCTGAACTAACTTTGAATGCAGGAATAGGGTCGCTGACCATTGGTAAGTACGGGAAAATTGCCGTTTACTCCTTGACCAAAACGAAGAGTTATTATGACTTTAAGTATATCCTTGGCCCTCCCTTCCCCCACCTCCCCTTATTAAGCAACATCCCGGATCAGCCAGCGCATATCTATACGCAGTGACACAACAAGGTAAACAGGATGGTTTAAAGTGAATAATCTTGTACCTGTAGGGGCCTCAGCCCACGCGCCCAGGTACGTACAGTATTTCCCCTTCTTCATATTGTGACCACCATTATGAAAAAAAAATTTAAAAAAAGGACACCAACAAAGGTGATCAAAAAGTGACATACAAGAGTGATGCAAACCCAAATGTTCACTTTTTTTTGGCATGACGTCGACTCTCCTCACTACGTGAAATGTACATCATAGTTTTTATGTAATTTGTCTTAATTGAGTATAAAACGTCAAAAATGTTCAATATTTTCTTGATCTACACCAAATAACTGAAAATAGATATAGATAATGTAATTAGTTGTTATGAAAATCCATCTCGATAAAAAAGATTACTCCGTTATCTTTAATCGACCATTTTCTCCTAGGTGTTGGGGTGGTTCTTGCTATTATATCTGGACTGGTTGCGATTGCGTTGGAAATGGGGCTTAAGATGAATTGTGCTCAAAATCAGGGTTTTTCCACCATCAGCATCTTTGCTCAGGGCCCACAGTATGGTCTTATCGCTCTCGCTGAAGTGTTCACTGCTCTCACAGGTACAGGTGCAACATGTTATGTTTTTTTTATATACTTTTAATGTTTTCTGTGTTGCGAATTGAATATATATTGAACATTTTTGTGACAAATGATATTTCTGAGATACTTATAGATCAAGATTGTTCCAAGTGTCCCGAAAAATGTGTGTGGCGTCTTGATCGTCATCTTACTGACTGGTGAGTTAAGGCTCTCTTACAACCCGTCGTGCGTGCTGAGAGACCGTGCGTCCTCGGAGTTCCTGTCAGGCGTAGCGTTGTCGCAGGATGAAAATTAAATCGCAGGGTACCCTCTACCAGGGCGACTGATAGATTTTTTACAGATATTCACAGATATGTCTCTAGCTAGATAGATGGTGATTTTGGGCTGTGACTTCAGCGTCCACCAAAAAAAGTACGTTCCACGTGCGTGTATCTTACTACTTGGCCAATTTTTTGCACGCAAACCGCTCGTAGAAGCACGCACGACCGGTTGTAAGAGTAGCTTTAGGCGTTTTCAGTACATCAGGTGTGTTCATAATATAAAACGATTTTGTGCATTACACCCCCTGCGCATTTTTGCATTACATCCCCCCCACCTCTGAGCCGGCCACCGCTGCCTTTGCGCGCTTTTTAAAGGCTCTCTGCCATTTATACATGGTTTCAGTCTTGTTCCTTGTCTCACTTTCCATCTATTGCCATGTATACTACCTGTATGCATCTCAAAATTCATGAATTGTTGACGGTAAGGTTATGATTGGAGAATGGCGCCGAGCAGGAAAAAATATGCAAAACGAATGCAGTTTATCCACGCAGTTTAGTATAAAGATCGAAGAGACAACACCGCATTGCCTATCACCAGTATTACAGTATGTTTACATGAACAAACGCATATTGCACGCATATAAACTCAAACTGTAACAATAAACGCCATAAATTGGTGTTGTGAAAAAAGACAAACTACTTTTACTTTTACACTTTTCAGTTAAGGAGTTTTCATACATGGAAGCCCCTGATGGCTTGAAGTGCTTCAGTATGGGTTTAAATCAGACTGCTCTAGGACTCTCATTTCTAATCTCGCTGGGTATAGAAAGCTTGGTGAAAACCTACACTGGTATGTAGCGTATATATATGCTATCCCTCTTTGGCTTCGTAAGAAGCGATTGCATTGTCCAAACCAGCAGGCTTTCACTTCTTCTACTTTTTGTTTGAATTCCATTTTTACACACTCGAAGCAATGACAATTATTTATGTTTCTGTTTATTTCTGTTTAGATTTCATTACCAACCGAATGCGTGTATTATGGTGGCATGTTCACAACGTGGTGTGCGTACTTCACTGCAAAATAAATGTATTATGACGAGGCAAACTTTTCTCCTTTCAGACTGGTACGATTTTGATTTAAAAGACATGTGCCTGGCCAGTGACCCAAGCCATTTGGAGTATTTCTTGGCTATATTGGTAGTAATGAGCTTAGTCTTCTCCGTAGTATTCCCTTTGGTCACTAGGATACCGAAGACCATAGACGAGGAGGGAGAGAATTTAGAGAGTAATTGACAGACTTTACCACGAATGAATGAATGGTGCTTTCGTAGGAAAACTGAAATACCCGAAATTATTCTCTCTGAAAGCGCAAAAAGATGGATGTGTATGTATTTGCTCAAGAGGTTGTTTTTGTGTTGGTTGCATTTTTTTAACAAATTGTAAAACGGAAGTGCGCGACATATATAATATGAAAATTGTTAGTCACAAGCTCACATCGTGGAAAATAGTAAACTCATTTTTTATACAACTCCACATTAAGGACATTTCTTCTAAACTAATTTTTTTCAAATAATGTTGTTCGTTTTAGGCCGATAGCATTCTGAAAATGTTCGATATAATAATGTTTAATTAAGAGAGAACTTCTTAAAATAGGCCACAATAACATTACATGAGTGTGCCAAGGCAGCGCATGTAAAACTGAAAGTTTAAGGGTATTATTACCCTTTATTATCATACTGATATGATACTGAAAATGAGTTTTTTTTTCCTGCATCTAACTATTCAATAATGCATCTAACTTTGTGCTGATTTAAAACAATAAAAAAACACGAAAATACAGAATATCGGCGTTTATATTTCCCGTGGCAATGTATAAGCATAGGCAACTTAAAACTTTAATCGTCAATTTTACACCGTTCTAATTTTGGGGCGAGATAGCAGTCGGTATGGAGCTTAACTTCATCCCTGAACAAGTTTAATCACAAAAATTGGCAGAGTCGACACTGAGTATGTCTATTTTGATACAATGTTGCTTTCACGGCTAATTCATATTCGATGAAACTGACAAATAACAAACAAAGTAGGCCCTATAACGAGCAGTTTAAAAACCACTATAAAATATGAAATAGAGCCACACATTAGAACAATTAACATAGTGTTTGAAATAAAATTGGCCAGTCTGTAAATAAATAAAATTGCAAGTTTAAAATAACATGTTTCTTAAATATATTACTTAGATATCACAATAAATACTCAAGACCTCACATATTGATCAGTACACCTTTTTGTAATGATGCAACATTAATATCTTTAAGTTTCAATTCTGGATAGCTGGTATGTCTGGCTGTTGATTTATAGATTCATATGTCGGAAAAGTGTCATAGCTTCGACTTGTGCCTAGAGCGTCATTTCGCCCACGCAGTCCTTCGGTTTCGTCACTTCCGGCCAAGAGAGGTCGATCTATGTCACCAGCATTTTGCGCGCGCAACATACGAAGTCTGCCGTCAACCCTCAGGCTTTTTAGGCACAAAACCACCAGGAGAAATATTATAAAGAAACCGACTAGCAGGCACAACAGGACCATGTAGAGAAGCTCCATGTGTCCCACGTTACCTGGCCGACAGATGTCGCCTCTTGGGTGCCAATCTGAAAATTAATAATAATAATAATACGAAGAAGAAGACATACATAACGGAAAACGAAAAAATACAAATTAATCATTATATTATAAAGACAAAATGGTTTAAATCACTTTACCTGGCCTTGTGTTTTCGATGAGTTTAAGAAAACCATAGGATGCAAAGAAGGTAAGACCATAGACGGTATAGAACAGTCCCATGGCTGTGAACTTGAGTCCCTTAGGGGCCTCTGTGTACACGTATTCCCAGGCTGAAATATAAATGTTAAACAATACGTGATTAGCTATTTTAAATTGAATTTCTATTGACTACAAAATATTGTATTTTATGCATGTTCTCAGAATAGCGGATAAAGGATGGGTTACAACCATGGTAACCATGGTAATCTTTGTATGGTATACCTTTTATTTAATGAATACCTAATATTCTATCTGTTTATTATATGATACTGTGATTTATAAGGATATATGCTCGCAATTTGACTTGTTCAGTACAGCCTACGGTAAGCCGACATTTTCACATGGAATATTTCAGCTCCTCTAACACAATTGGTCTAAAGGTCTCCTTTCTCTTTCCTACACTTTCCAATTTAATGGTTCTTTTTCTAAATAAAACTATTTGATCACGTTGTAAAGTGCCCAATTACACATTACACGTGCCATTGAACCATGCTGGTTGATCCTCCGTTGTTTACTTTAGACTACTTCAACATGCACCAATTGCCACGTCAACTCAAATTGCTGTGATCAAATTAAATTGGCCGACACAGATGTTTCAAATGAAGATGTGAACTTTTGGCACCAACAGGCTGACAGATCGCATGTCTCATTATATTAAATAAGTGAAGTAAACCGACGACATCCACGAGGGAATTACTGGCATTGTTATTGGACGAAATTGTGTTTTTACCCATGCGGTCTTGACAGGTGAGTAGGGGTCTTAGCCCTTTTTCTCCTCTTTTTTGTTTTTCACCACATCAAACCTAGGCGCAAAAAGCAGGAGGGTGGGGGGTAAGAGTATGTGCATCTATTTAAGTAAAATGCCAGCTCTAAGTACACTTTGGTCGTTACCACCCCCTCCCTCCGCTAGTTGATTTTTTTCTAAATGGTTACTATTATTATACCCCTACCATTCTCTCCTTAATTTTAAACCGCTTCCTGCGTGCCTGCACTGAGAATAACTACATGTATAAGAAACACCTCGTCCAGTCATCCGCATTTCATCATCCAAAATAAGATCAAACCTCTCACATCCTTAACATCATGTAAGCAGGATCACTTATGCCATAGGATATGAAAATATATTTATTAACACCCAATTCCTTGAATTTAATCATCCAAAAATATTCAATATGCTCCTTTGGAGAGTCATGTATAATTGGACCTAAATACAGTATATCAAATGCCCCAGATATCAGCTTGGGGAGGAGGGTGCCCTGGGTGTAAAAGGACCACCCATGTTGCAAGAAATTACTAGACCTCCTCTCCCAACCTTCAATACCAAAAATGTATAAATAACTACCTTTATAAGGACCTTCACCCGGTGTACCATTACAGAGAGTCTCCCATGACAGAAAGCCCGCTTCCCATTTATTCGTACAGGTAAACCTCCCCCTAGATTTTGACCCACTTATGTCAGGCTAACCCTAACCATTATAACTAAATAGAAAGAGGATTTTCTGTTACACGGACCCTCAGTTTCGTTACATCGGTTACTGGTTGTCTTAAATACCTGAGATAACGGTAAAAACTTCCCCAAGTCCTAGCAGGATGACCTGAGGTGCCTGTATTAGCACGGTCAAAGTGGACTGTCCGCCGTGTTGAGTACAGTCGTTTCTGCGGGCGACCTCGACGAGGAGGGCAGAAAAACCAGAGCCAGCCGTACACGCCATTCCAATCGCTGTAAGCATCCAATCAAAGTCAAAATATGAATGATTTTAAAGAAGAGCGGTTAAATAAAGCGACAAAAATAGACCAATCAATCAATTAGTCGATTAATCGATAGTTCGATCGAAATATTCATTGACAATATTTATCAGTTCTTTGATGACTTGTGGCTAAAATTTGCTTATATTCAAGGGTGATGGGAAGCAAATTTTCTCTATGAAAACAATCATTAGAAGTGACCTTTAAAAGTGATTTTTCTTCTCTTATTACGCGGTTGCTGTCAAGTTCACTTATCAGAATAATGCACGTAGAACGTGACCATGATAAGGAAATTACTTCACCCACCATCTGTTTAGTAATAGAAGGTCAAGGTAAAAATACTTAAAGTGGCGACTGAACTAATTTGAAATCAATTGATGGTTGGAAAACACGTGAAGTCCTCAATAACAAATGACAGGTGCACTTACACAACATATTTTACATGTAAGCGTGACGCCCGGCGCACAGTTATCGAGCTGACTTACATGTACACGTGTGCGAACTTCACACATAGTTTAATAATTTCTTGTGTCTTTTACTTAAGAGTAGGTGAAGTAAATAATCCAACGGTACATGAACTTATTTTCTATCTAAAAATCAAATATACTTTCCAAAATTCAAATAAGACAATTTTAGTGCAGAAGTTAATGGCCCTTGGCATTGCGTTAAATGGACATAACACCAATGGCATCGTCTCATATCACTTTGACGGCAAATGGAACGCATTTAATTGGTCACAACAAGCTGCTCATTTTTTCCTTTTTTTTTTTTGTTTTCTTTTTTTTTTTTTGTGTTACACGTCCTTTCGGACATCTACACCTCCTACGAGCTTGTCGAGCATACGCGTCATTGGAAATTTGATTTTCTTATTTGCGTTTGTTCCTCACTTGGCTACATACTGGGTACCCACTACGACAATAGATCGTGCAGGGAATTACATTATCTTCCTTTTAATACACGCTTGCAGCGAGCAAATAAAAAGGATATTCTTTCCTGAAGACGTGGACCTATGCACCCCTTCATTGTCGCAATTCGAAAAATGACTTACACCGATAGGACCCAGCTAAAACATTCACTCAGAGCGGTACTTTTCCGGCCAAAAGAGGGGGAAGCATTCAAACCGTCGTCCACCCCCTAAACCGTTCCTAATACATGTACTTACCCATTCTAACGAATACAGATATTTTCTTGCCCTTCCTTCTAAAATTCCGATACACAACATTAATGAGGAACGGAATGGTCAGTAGGATTATGACCTCATTAAACAGAAGGACGAACGCGCTGGGGTCGTCAATGTTGACCTGTCCAATAGTCGTGTTCAGTCCTGTCGCCTGGAGCTGAAAAGTCCCCAGTGCCTGTGAAGTGAAAGTGTTTATTATATTATAAGAATCTCTTCAATAAATAGACACATTGCATATGGCTAAAATGGTAATGATAATAATAATAAGAGGTTTACCTTGCTCTTGGCAATATATAAAACTTATACTAAATGCAGGCCCGTAGCCAGGGGGGGTTCGGGTGGTTCGAAATAACCCCCCTTTTGCTGGGAAAAGGTCCCCTCGTGGTAAAATTGTATCTAGGCACATGAAGGTTTCATGGTACATGTAAAAGGTCCACTTTTTCAGAAAAAGAACCCCCCTTTTGAAATTGCTGGCTAAGTGCCTGAAATGTAAATATAGAATGAAAAGATAGAGTATTAAAAATGGAATTAGGTTAAAATACACCTTTAAAATAAGTACTAAAGGAAAATGAAAATATTGAGAAAAAATATATTGTTTCTCAATATCAATTGTGTTGAATTTAAAATTAATTAATTTTATCAAAAACGTATTGCCAGTTTAATGTCTGCACGTTCGTCCTTAGTATATCATGCAGGGGATGTTTGTTGAGGATCAATGGCTGTCTTTTCTGTTTCAGTCACTTTGAGCACGCGGCGCTTAATCGTGTCAATGTTAAGGATCAGACGTTTGAGTTTATCGCTACCTCACGTGCTAGTGTCATGAGAAGGCATAATGTCGACATTTCGAAATGAATGACAAGCATAAGCAGATAACTGATGATGATTCAGAGACGTTTCATAATTTAGTCTACCTGTGTATAAATAATTCCAAATCCAAACACCGACGTGTTGACACATAGTATTTTTGCAAACGTCTTCAACACTTTCTTTGGTGGGCTGAAAGGGTTTTTGGTCTTCGGTATCGGCTGTGGCTTGGGTCCATATCTGTCTCTCAAGTGTGCCGCTTTGGTCTTAATGGTTTTGATCAAGCTAAATCCTAAAAAGAAACAAACAAACAATTAGTCTATGGGCCACTGTTGTTTTCATCATCATCATCATCATTGTTATTATTATTATTATTATAATTATTATTATTATTATTATTTACTACACGACTACACGTACTTGTCAGGGGCGTAAGCAGAATTATTTGAAGGGGAGTCCGGTATTTTAGGGGTTGACAGGCCTCGGATTGCGAGGCCGACCCTCACCACCTTGGCACCAGGTTCGGGGCACGCTTGAAGCCCCCCCCCCCCCCCCCCCACACACACACACACACACACACACACAAATGGTGTTTTGGAGGGCAAATGGCGAAATTTGGTACAGTTTAGAACTACATGTATGATTCAGCTAGACGTTTTTTGGTGCGTGTATTTTATCAGAAATCGAAGGGGGTGGGACCCCCCTGACACTCCCCTAAATCCGCCACTGCTTGTATATAGTGTAAGATTCATGTATTCCTGACTCGAAAGTCAAAATAGCATAAAGCAGGTGAAATAAGCATTCAGCTTCAACACCAGAAATACAAGTACATCGACCAAGTGTCTTCTCTGCAGGAAGCAAAATATTTCAAAAGATTTATTGATCTCATCTCACCTTCTTCTACGTACGTCTTATATCTGGACCTGACCAAGCAGACGATCATACCGGAGAGAAGTATAGAGATCGGGGCAGGTATGGTGTCCGCCTCCACGGCCTCAGTCGTGGACGTGAAGAGAATCATTATCGTGAGGGCGCTGTTCAGTAAACCTGCGGCATTGGTACTGAAGTAAACCCTGCAAGGAAATAACTTGTATTCTCCTGTATCTGATATTGAAAGTCCATAGCTTGTATATCTATAAAAAATCAATGTGTTAATAAGGCACGTGTAAGTTGTGAAGTGTACCTTGAACAGGTGCTATTGGAACGAAGTAGTTAGGAGGGTGTAAGTTGGCGTAGTAAGGAGGGTGCACATGTAGTTTGGTGGGCCCTAGTGTAAAAAAAAAAATAAGTAAATATCGCAGTGTCTCTGCGCATGAACGTAGAGCAGTCACCTTCTACCAGAGCCACAGATTGATTTTCACCAGATATTTACAGATATCTCTCTGGCTAATTCTTCACGATTTTCTGGTGAAAGCAAAGGTTTTGTATGGTATTAATGCCCCCAGTATAGAGTAGTCTACAGCTTACACGACCAAAATAAGGGATAATATGATACACAATAGACTCCACATACCTCGTTACCTTTAAGTCAAATTATCAATTATCCTTTTCATGGAAAATTCCCATTACTTGTACATGTTCTGCTTGTGGAAAGATTTTTTTCTCTTTGGTAATAATCAACTGAATTTTGCCTGACTCGTGGGGAAATTTACAGGACTTAAATGTGGAATATGTTGCACAATTATATATGTACGGTATATTTACCAATGAAAAGTATTGCTCTTTGCCCTGGTCTGAGTGACTTGCTCTGCGGCCAGTACTGACAGGATGACGGACATTCCAGTCTGACCAAGCAGGAGGAAGACCACGGATGACCAGGCTAGCTGTTGTAATGTCCACAAGTCACTGACCTGCGAGGAAAGTGTTAAAATGTCAAAACTGACATATTTTGAAATATGTAGACTTTTCTTCACTCTCCAGCTACCGAGAGTACACTCTTTTTCCTTCCCATCCTTTTTATCTCCTCAAAATACTCTATCAAAGCATACGAATGAAGTGCTCATTAGTCATTAGAAAAAAATGTATAAATGTAAACACTTTTCTTTCTATTTGAGCCTTTTTACGACAACACTGAAGCTGTGGCTGAAAAGGCCACGGTTTACAAAATGTTAGCAGATGATAAAATCAAAGACATAATGACATGCTTGACGGCTCTGCAGGTAACACATAATGCATAAAAGGTCACGCTACCGTCCATCTGCCTCTATAGCTCAGTGGTTAGAGCACTGGTCTTGTAAACCAGGGGTCGTGAGTTCGATCCTCACTGGAGGCTTACTTTTCTGATAGTAACACTTTTGTACAAATAAACGAGCAGTTAAAATTCTCGTCTCTTTTCCTCATAAATGTTATTTCGAGTATTGAACGTCCTAACATTGTTTTGATACACGTTTTTCACGTGTCTGAAGCTTAGGGCCCATTAATTATTAGGGTAACAAAAGTGTGTTGCTTACCAGCGTTAGAGGCAGCGATGTTGCTATTTGCATCAAAATAGCACCTAGAATAGGATATTGGACACAAAAATTAGAACATATAGAATAAAGCAAAAGAGATAAAGCATTTATTTTCAAATTATAGTGTGGAGTAGTGACGTGCAGTGTAGTACTAGTATTATAGTGTAGTATCGTGTAGTGTAATATAGCATGGTGTAGTATGGTATGGTATACATGTAACATTACCTATAATAAAGAAGACATATGTCACCCCCAGGGTGCCAAAGGGACCAGGGTAAGTGTCGGCTGCGATTCCTCCTATCACCTCTAGACTGGAGCTGACACCTTTGGAGAATGCAGAAATATTATAAAGTGCCAAATAAATCAAATCAAATTGAACTGAATGGAAACTCAGTGTCCTAGGATTGAACAGTTCGAAACTAAATGAAATCTTATATTCGCGTTGGTTAAGGGGTGTGAGGCGGGGGGGGTGGGGGGGGAGGGGGGGGGGGGGGGGGGGGGAGGAAGGAGGCCTTACCCTATGACACTTTTTTAAACCACGCTAGTCATGAGCGCAGGATGCCGGGTTAAGTTAAGGGGAACTTTTGTTTGAATGTTAAGCCACCTCTTCCCTTTCTCAAAATTTACTTCATAAAAATGCAATAAAATTTATTTTGGAGGTACATGCTTCTTGGAATAGGAGCGTGTGGACTGAACCGTACTAGAGGTCACCCAAAAAAGGGGATAATAGTCAAACCCATCCTTATTTCCACCCTGATCAATATTTACCAGTGTAAATCATTCGGTACTCCTCCGCATCGTGGAGGGAGTAATTCAGTTTTTTCGTCCACACAGTCACAAAGTTATTCAAGATCGTGAATCCCGCAAGAGACTTGAAAAAGTAGGCCAAGAAAATGGAGAAGGTTGTTGCTGTACAGGCTATGCGACCGTCAACGAAGTAAGGGGTTTGTTGATCGATGTCCACGCTCGACACCTGGATGGACACGCTGACAGCGTTGTCACCGTTTACCTGACGCCCCTGACCGTGGTCAGCGTTTTGACCACCACTATTTTCGTGTCCACCTCTTTTTGTTATGTCTCTGGTATCACTCATTGTTAAACAATGCTTCCTTGACAGCCGGTATATACATGAGCCACTCAGTAGGTTTCACTTCTGGTTTCGTTTCACCGTGTCACCTGAAATGTACAAAACACGGACGCGAAGTCTAATATAACAATATACTTTGGAATAAATAATCTGGGGCATGTGATGGCAACGTTCATCATGTGATTAAAAAAGAGACGGTTTCACTTCCACATTTCACCAGACTCTTGGTTTACGTGGGAGAGGAGGGGGGGGGGGTTACTAGCGGGTCACGTAACTAGGTTAAATATTGAGCGTGAAATAAACACCAAGCCTGTTATACTGCTACCTATAATCCGCTGACACTGTGACCTGCCCGGACAACGTGCATTGATAGTATATATATTACTAGCGTGGCCCTGTATGTGAATCAGCTTCGTCTTTTCTCAAGAAACACATATAAATATATGTATGCAACAGCACCATTGACAGTCAATGTGTTTTGAGTCCTTGATATATATAAAAAACAATAAATAATTACATATAAATATAAAAACAAATATAAATAAATAAATGAATAAATAAATATAAACATTCAAAATTTTCATAAAAAGAGAGCTGGATCCACCTGAAAATTCGGGTACATCTCTGAACCAGTGAATTTTGCAACAGGGAATATGAGTGAATTTTGACTGTGCTACATATTAGCAAGCACTTGGTTAATTCAATCACAGGCGGTTCATCGAAAAGTCTGGTCAAAATAGCTTTCTAATCATTATATCGAAGGGAAACAGGTCACACGTTTAATATGACCAATAATCATATACATAAAGTCGATGCGTCATAACATATACCAAATGACACAACTGCTACAATGTAGTATGATGTCACATTTGCTGATATACATGAGGAGTCACCATGGCTCTCCTTTATATTATCAGCATGCTTCTACCCCGTTTTCAATATACCGGGATGTTGTACCTGTATATGCGAGTTGCCAGTGTTCTCTGAGACTCAGGGTGACGGAAAAGGCAGGGGAGGGTTTGCCACTTCAGATTTGTGTCTGTTATAAAGAAATCAGATATATCATTCTGCTATTATTACGTACGCGTGGGAGGGGTTCCCTCTACCAGGTCCACAGATATTCAGAGATACGTCTTACGGTCTATGGTTAAAATGTTGGTTAAAATCTCTCGCGTAAAAGTCCACATACCTGTAAAGCCCCCTTTACACTGGACGGCGTCCTTTCTGCGTCCAGCATTCCGGTCCCATTTGAGAGTTAAAAAATTATAATATTATACGTGTCGACAACTGGCCGATCATTGAGCATTCATTCTGATACAAAATTAATGCTCGTGCCTCCTTTTTAAGACCACAGCGATGCCAAATTTCATGGTCGCAGAAAGGACGCAGAAAGGACGCCGTCCAGTGTAAAGGGGGTATAAGATAATATGCAGCCCTGGTAGAGGGTAAGGGAAGGAGGGGATCGAAACAGCATAGGGGCATACCACTGGGGCATGTACTATACAGGTACATAACGATGTAGGCTACTTGTACGGGCATGCACTATACAGGTACATAACGATGTAGGCTACTTGTACGGGCATGCATGTAGCACGAGTGTCGATAATTTCGCCAGCTCTATGTATTGTAAACTACTGCGTGTGGAATATGTAGGGCCCTGTATATCATACATATTATGTATGCTGCATTTTACCCACGGCGGTTCAGCAGACACATAGTGGTACACACCGGGTTATCCTGGTTTCTATGAAGATGGCCAGCAGTTTCCGCTCCCACCCCAAGGGTAGAAACAGAATAATTTTGTCCACTGCAAATATACTCCAACGGAGTATTAATACTTGTGTACATGTACAGTTGCCCTCTATATATATACGGCTGTGTATACTGAATATATATGGTGGCCTAGTTAACAGCTCGATTAAGAGGAAAATCAAAGAAACCGTAGGCCTACATTTCCATACGGCACTATACTCGCATTGAAGACTTAATATTCAGTTAACGTCTCACATACTGGTATACTGCTTGGCACACACTCCAATGTAGTGGTGGGTGGCTGCAGTCCCCATGCTATTCTAATACTGCGAAATGAGCTCTCGGTCTTCCATTTCCCTGTCGTATAGCGACACTAAAGTTGCATTTACACTTGTGCCCTTCGATCGTTAAAACTTGTGATATGCGCACACACTTAATATGCACTAATCGTCCATGTAAACAATAACCACTAAGGAAATACACCGCGTGACGTATAAATAGGCCAGTTAACTAGGTCAAGTAATATCCACGTGTTAAAGTTCGGTTTGCAACAGCTGGAAGAGAGAGAGTCGCGGCTTTTCAATTTTTATTTGCCCCCACCCTTTCCCTTCTCTAAACGTTCATATCTCAATCTTAAATGGGTATCAGAAATAACAATGCCATTGCAAACGGTTTGCAGCTGTGGTGTAAATAAAAACACCCGTCACTGGAGGTGTGGCAATATTTTTGATCAACACTGTACGTAGGTCATATAATGCGTAGCAAAGACAAATAGATAAATAATAAAAAAATGATAAAAGAAAATATACGCGCATATACAAAATTTAAAACCTGAATAATGATAAGAATGAAATGATAATAACGACGAAAACAACTAAACAAACAAATAAATAAATTAATAATGATCAGATTGTTGATCTTAAACTATGTAAATTAAGTCAAAAGTCAATTCGTTTAAACACATTAAAGTAACTGCCTTTACTTTATTCTTTAATTGGCCTCTGAAGTGAAAAGTTAATGTCAAGAACAACACTGAACACTTGTCGGTGGTCTAGAAACTGAGGGTCTCTGTGCAATACAGACTCCGCCCTCTGTACATTCATACAGGTATGGGTAAGCGAAACGTAAGGGGTCAAAATCTAGGCCGGGGCTTTCCTGTACAAGTAAATGGGAACCGGACCCTGTAAAACGAGGTCTCTCTCCTATGACTCGATCAGGTATGATAATCTGAAACTGATAATCTATTTCCCAAACAATTCGTTTACACCAGTTTAATCAAAATATTTTCATCCCCCAGATAGCGTATCATTCCTGCACTGTAACGAGTGACTGCAACAGTGGCAGCAGAGCTTGGGGATTATACAACATGCAATAATTAAAGGGCTGGTTTCCTGAGTCGATCGACTGTTATTTTGAATCAAAATGGATGAGGGATATGTTAGTGCAAAATCCGACACCAGTTCGAAAGGCATTTCTTACATCCAGTCCATAGGTGACCAGGACACAATATCACAACTGGAAACAATCAACGAAGAAAAAGACTGTACCGAAAGACGCGTACATTCGTCACTTTCAAAAGCGGCTGTGCTGATTCTGCTAGCGTACGCCTGCGAACGCGCTGCGTACTTCACAATTGTTAACTATATGAACGAGTTATGGCTGGTGACTTTCAATTCAACGACGGCGTCAGCAGTGGTAGTTCACATGGCGTTTGTAGGTAAGTCAAAGGTCATGCAGGTTCTTTAGAACGTGAATCGATGTTTCGGATGTTTTTAAAGAACGGCCGTTTATTTTGATTTTGATTAACCTTGCCATTTTCACCATAAAACAGGGACAATTTGTATTTGCAGGGGCGTCAGCATGCTTGGGGATATTTGGTGGGACGATGGCTGATACGTTCTTACGCCCAATACCAACGTTAACGCTTGGATATGTTCTTTTTAGTCTTGGTAAGTTTTAATAACGTAAACTCTAGATCGGGCACCAATTTGCACTACACAATCATTATATATCAGAAAACGTGAGTGGGAGTGCTACCTGTATAAAACATTTTCTAAATAGCTTGAAACTGAATCATGAAGGCGCGGTTGTGCAAATGTGTGGAACAGACCGTCTAGGAAAAGCTTATGTCTTTCCTCCCTTTCTCTGTCTTTGCCCCTACACTTTCAACTGTGCCTTGGAGCGTTACAAGATTAAATGAACTCGATTTTTAATTTGTGCAAGAGATTTTATCATTTTTTAATTTGGCACCAAGAAATGGTGAAGAAGGGAAGACGAAGAAACATCACATAAAACAATTTTACAATTGTGTATCATTGAAATGTAGTACACTGTTGTGAAAAGTCATGTTTGGTTCTCGGAGTTCTGTCGTAGCATATATATTATTTGTGATCTAATTTTGATTATACTGGGGTGGGAATGGTTTCTCTTCTCCTTAATGAAATTATTGATGGTGAAGTTTGACATTGCCTGGTTCAAAGCCTTTCGGTATTATTATTATTATTATTATTATTATTATTATTATTATTATTAATCTTTCAGGTCTCATTTTCCTCGAATTTGCTGAACATATTGAGGTAAATGCTCAAAATGAAGAAAAAACGTTTTATCTTTATTTGGCTCACAGCTAGACATGACCTGTACCCAGCAAACACAAAACGTCATTATATAATATTTCCATAATAATATTTATTTAAACAAAAACGTTCTGGTACTTTTAAGGTGACGTTATAAAACGTACTTTGTTTATTGGGAAGTGACATGTGCTGAAGAAATCTTGGCGTCATTATGTCATAATATCTGTATGAATTTTAAAAAATCATTTCAATCTACAAAATTGTGTTTGCAACTGTCAAGGCTGTGATACCAGTATGTAATCAGCTTGTTATCATGACAAACTGTGTTTGGGTTGTCTTTGATATCAATGGCGCGCGCGGTTTAGCCTCCATGATGACAATAGGTAACGGGTCATCGGTCAGTGGTATGTTTTCGTTGGTGTGGGTTAATCTAGTCCGTCCCAAAAGCACTATTAGCAGGTAAGGTGGTGTTAGACCCATGTAGGCATATTACTAAAAGAGAGAGATGATGGATAGCAATCTAGTACTGGAATGGACTTGAATGACTGGATTTTCGTTAAGATTTAGGCCTACAGAAAATATTTTTGGTAGAGATTTAATGCAAATTATTATTATTATTATTATTATTATTATTATTATTATTATTATTATTATTGTTGTTGTTGTTGTTGTTGTTGCTGCTGCTGATACTGTTGTTGTGTTTTGTTATTATATATCGAAAAATAGCACTCTTTTGCCACAATTCTTTATGAGCATCTGGCGCTGACCCCCCCCCCCCCCCCCCCCGATCCACGTCTTCCTTTACTCATATGTTCGTCCGGACAGTTTATTTTCTCTACTAGTGACACAACGCCACCTGTGTCACTTTGAATCTGACGAAGATGGCCGATCGCTTTCACGTGAGTGATGAAATGTGTAATTAGTTTGTGACAAAAGAGTGTTTTCATTGCTATTTCCTTCCAAACAGGCGAAAAACTTTAAACATTGTTATTATATTAGCATTGAAAACTTATCTTAGCGTTCCAACAGCACCGCAAAACATCTTGCCGTGGCTGGACTGGCAACGGCTGCTTTTGGACAGGGCTGTATTGGCACCGTGTTACCGGTAGTTGGCGCTGAACAGTTACCAGACGAGAAGCATCGAAGGCGTTATATTCATTGGTAAAGTTATATATTCATTTTTGGGGTTTTTATTTTGTTTATTATTATTGCTATTATTATTATTATTATCATTATTATTACATGAACCTGGTATCAGTTCGAAAATTTGACAATCGATACAAGAAAAAGTCTAGTGTTAGAATATTAAGAAATTAATCAATGGTTCACAAAAATGCCTGTTTTCAGTTAATAGACGAATGAGAGTCTAAGGCCAACTTGTAAAAAAGAAAAAAATCATATGTATGATAATAACTTTATTGTATACATTTTCTTTAAATGTACATCTACTGATTTATATGTGTTATCTTTTAATATTTTAGCAGAAGACTATCCCATTAATATTTGAATGAAGATATAGTTATTAATGCGCCTATACTACAAGCAAAAGCAAAACTTTTTTCTAAAACAGGTTTTATCTTTGGCGCAATGTTGGTGCCATGATTGCAGACATATCGAGCGCCATAACGGAAGGAATTCCAGGCTTACCACTTCACTTCAAGTTTCTCATCGCTCCTTTGTCAGGTCTGCTCTCTCTGATTCTCTTTTTTGTGGCACTTTGGGTCAGAGTGCGATCACCATATGAAAAGAAAGGGACTTTTCGTAGTTCAGGTAACTTGACTGCAATCAGACGTGTTTAACGCGTTTGAAAATGACCCTAAGTGATACTGTTGTACATGTTTCTTCAAAGCTACTAATCTTTCCCAATTCAGATTTTTAAAAAAAGATTATAAACCCCCTCACATAAAAGTTTCTCACTTTGATAGTTCCTTCTGAAAGGTACAGAAAAACATGACGTTGTAAATGTCTGGCCAGTCATTTATGGAATAAAGTAAAAGATCAGATCAAATTGAAGGGACGACTAATGACCATAATTCGTGAGGATGAGAAATTTGCTTTTGAGTCCGAAGAGAATACATTTTCGCAGGTTTATCCCTTATTGAGTACATGTGTTCCTTTAATATCATTCGTAATATACTGGTATTTACCCATGTGGTTTGTCGGTAGCTTTTCTACAGCATAGAAAGTCATTTCATGCGTCACTTTTGGAAAATGATAGATATTATACGTATGAATATTTTCCGTGTTTTGACATTTTAGTGACAGCTTTACATGAAACGCTCACGGCTACATTAAACTTCTTCAAGAGAGGACGCCGAGGAGGGGCGAAAGGCAAGGTTTCCAAGAGACTGGACAAAAAAGAACCGGACCCAAAAGAACAACATAAAAGAAATCGTGTCCGAGATCTCCTCAGGATCCTGTTGGTTAATTCGGCGGTGGTTGGGTTTGGGTTCCTTTACACGCCGGTAAGAATTGACCGATTTGATCAAGAGCCGATCCGTAGGATAATCAAAATAATCAATTAGCTGATCAATGGATTCATCTATCAATTGTTAGTCAATTAATTACTGAGTCAGTAAGTCCGTATTCACTTTCGTAAGAAAATGATTTATTTTCAATAAAATGTCTGATAAACTAATTAGACCTTTGGGCTCTATGTTATCAGTACGGTTTTCTGTATTCTTTACCAGTACAATCTTTCTCTCTTTTTACAGATAATGACGATATATTCGTTACAAGCCACCGGACTCAACAGTACCGTGAACGGACATTTGTTTCCTTCTCCATCCACACAGATCATATTATTCAACGAAGTGGTGATAGTGCTCGTTATCCCTTTTACCATCTACTATGTATATCCACGGATATCGTCACGGAAACGGCGACTATATATATCTAGAACATGTATGCACGTGTACCTTTCTCTTAGCATTTGATGTACCCCTCCTCCACCCCCACCCCTACCCCCTTGCAAAGAGAGAAGTCTCACTAAAAACAGACAAGCCATTTTCCACATACAGTATGTCTCCTATGTAATCATCATTTATTGTCGTCTTCCACTGTTTACATTTATCCTTTACCTCCCCCCCTCGCCCACCTCGCCCACCTCCCCTTATTAAGCAACATCCCGGATCAGCCAGCACATAGCAATACACAGTGACACGACAAGGTAAATAGGTTGGTGCTAGGGGGAATATAATGTAATTGTACCCACAGGGGCCTCAACTCACGCGCCCATGCGTGTACTGTATTCCCCCTGCTTAATACTCTAGTGTCCCTCCAAAGTGGAAATTAATCAACAGTAATCAAAAAGTGATATAAAAGAATCATAGCCCCCATTCAGAATAGGGGACTAACTAGTCCGAGGGTCAAATATGGCGACCCACTACAATGCTTGCCGTCTTATCCGCTAATAGACACTGAATAGATATCTCGTGGGGAAGTATTCAAGTGGGTCGGCCATATTTGATCCTCGGACTAGTTAGTCCCCTATTTTGAATAGGGCCATACATATATTTTTCGTTACTGACGTGATTCAAGTGGTCACTTTTGTGGAATTACCCTCCTCACTACTGTACACGTGTCCCAACACATACTTTTATAGCGTAAGCTTCGGTTATCGTTGAGTTTTATTTTACTCTAAAATTTGGAATTTCCAGTGGTCAGTTATTCAAATAGTATGACTTGAACTGCGCCAAATATACATTGTACCTACATGTATAATGTAATTCATGCTGATTGTAAACCATGTAAAATGATTTACTTCATCTACACCAAATAACTGAGAATAGATGTAGGTAAGGTAATGACAGTGCGAGTGAAAATTCCTCCCAATAAAAATGATCTCTCCATTATCTTTAATCGTCCGTTTTTTCCTAGGTGTTGGGGTGGTCCTTTCCATTATATCTGGACTGGTTGCGATTGCGTTGGAAATGGGGCGTAAGATGAATTGTGCTCAAAACCGGGGTTTTTCCACCATTAGCATCTTTGCTCAGGGCCCACAGTATGGTCTTATCGCTCTCGCTGAAATGTTCACTGCTCTCACAGGTACAACACGTTGTTTTTTTTTTATATACTTTTAATGTTTTCTGTGTTGCGAATTGAATATATATTGGACATTTTTGTGACAAATGATGATTCCAAGATACTTATAGATCAATGTGTGTGGTATTTTGATCGTCATCTTTTTGACAGATGAGTTACGCGTTTTCAATACATCAGGCACGTTTATAACATAAAGTCGGTTTTGTGCATTACACCCCCCTCGCGCCAAAAGGCCCTCTGTCGTTTATACATGGTTTCAGTCTTGTTCCTTGTCTCACTTTCCATCTATTGCCATGTATACTACCTGTATGCGTCTCAAAATTCATGAATTGTTGACGGTAAGGTCGTGATTGGAGAATGGCGTTGAGCAGGACAAAATATAACACATCCGAACAATCGATTGTATCAGCAGAAACATCTTTTTATCAGATCTTAGAAGGTTTCCTTTGACACAAGAATTGCATGTACTATCGCCGTTTCTGTGGCTCCGTGGTAACTCATTTCACTAGGACACGGGCGAAAATCAGTGTGAGTGATTCGATATCGAAAACTGATTGTGATTGTGAAGTTTCTGAAATGAGGTTAATTACTACAAGAGAAAACTGGTGCGGACGGAGGGTGAGTGGGTTTCACAGCAAAGTCAGTAGTGTGCACGATTGCTAAAATTCAAAACAATTACAAATATCCTTGGTAACGCAAAATCACGGGTTCGAATCCCGCCTCCCTTGGCATCCGCACGTGTCAGTTCAAGGTGAGAGCAGTGCTTTTTCCGTGAACGGGAATTCTAGAGAACAAATGCGGGCTCTCGCGAGACCGGGCATATTGCAGTACCTTTCCCATAACAAACCGAATGCAGCTTATCCACACAGTTTGGGATAGTGATCGAGGAGACAGTACCGCATTGCCTATCACCGGTATTACAGTTCACATGGACAAAAGTATATTGCACGTATATAAATTAAAACTATTACAATAAACGTCATGAACTGGTGTGATGTAAAGAGTCAAAATACTTTTTTGGATACTTTTCAGTTAAGGAGTTTTCATACATGGAAGCCCCTGATGGTTTGAAGTGCTTCAGTATGGGTTTACACCAGACTGCTCTAGGACTCTCATTTCTAATCTCGCTGGGTATAGAAAGCTTGGTGAAAACCTACACTGGTATGTATTCCTAGCGTACATACATTGTATGCTATTCCGTCTTTGGCTTCACAAGAAGCGCTCGCTTTGTCAAAAACAGCAAACTTTTGCCTCTTTTAGTTTTTGGCTTGATGCCCTTTGTGACCGACTCTAAAAACTAAAAATCATTTATGTATCGATCTCAAACGCATAAAGAGTTTTTTTTAAATTAATTTTATTACCAACCGCAAATCACGTCACGTGTTTGCCATACGGTCCTAACGCGGTCTGCGTATTTACTATGACGAAACATACTTTTCTCCTTTCAGACTGGTACGATTTTGATTCAAATGACACGTGTCTCGCCAGTGACCCCAGCCATTTGGAGTATTTCTTGGCTATATTGGTCGTAATGAGCGTAGTCTTCTCCGTAATCTTCCCTTTGGTCACTAGGATACCGAAGACCATAAACGAGGAGGGAGAGAGAAAGGAATTCAGAGAGGAATTGACAGACTTTACCACAAATAAATGAATGGTGCTTTCATTGGAAAACTGAAATACCCGAAATAGCAAATTGTTCATGACATGTTTGCCCCCTGTAGGGCTACAAGAGGAATATGTGTTAATGATACGGAGGGTATATAATTTAGTTTCCCATATATTTGAACTTAGTGATCCTCATACAACAATCTCTCTAATGTTTTATGACTAGGGCACTGATTTACAGGGGCATCTTCCTCTGAGAGACACGAAACAAATGACTTAAATTCCTGTTTACAGTTGAAGTGTACGTATTTAGCTGCACCGTTTTTCCATGGCAGGTTGGGGTTAATAAAAAGTTTGTGGCTAATTTATTGCTTTGAGCTGAACTGTCAAAAGAATGAATACGTTCAATACCCGTGTGTGTTTGTGTGTGTGTATTTGTGTTTTCTGCTAACTTTATTAATTCTTTAAACGGCAAGATGCCTGTCACATTTAAAAAATGAACTTTTGGCATTAACGTTTTCAAAACGTCTCCAGCCGAATAACCTTTATGTTTCATTAAAAAAAAGCAAACAAAAAATTCACGGAAGCACGGAAAGATTTATTTATTGTTGTTATTATTCAGATATTCTTGACATAATGCTTTCCTTTCTTGCCTAACAGATACATCTTCTTCGTTTTAAATTCAAATGTAATTTAATTGAAAAAATTCACAGGGTATATGACTGAAGGTAGATATCTTTCTGGATTCTCCGATAAACGGTCAATATATGCTGATTGGAAACATCTGTTACCAATAATGGGTTACCAGAATGGAAGATGGACTGTATAATTACATTCACTTCAGCGGATACATGCCGTGATAGCTTACACTCTATTAAACAGACGTCTTACATGCCGTGATAACTTACACTCTATTAAACAAACGTCTTAATCATGAACTCAGTGGAGAGGGAGAAACAGAAATAAATCGATATAACGTCTCTGTCAATCTCACTTTTCTGAAATCTGCAAAAAAAGCATACACACAAGTAATTGTCTTAGTACAATTTAATACAATTTAATACCTGATTGTCAATGTGCCCCCCCCCCCCAAAAAAAAAATGCAACATTGTTGTTGTCCAACATTGTTCTTGTCATTGTTCTTGATGATGTATTTTTTCTCTGACCACGCATTTTCGGATCAGATATGATATCTCAATCTACCCAAAATGCTGTCTTATCTCATATAACTGAAATGAATAACAGAATTAAAGCAAAAAAAAAAAAAAAAAAAAAAAAATCCCACAGTCAAACAAACACGTTTACGCGCGTGTACTTACATAAAAGTTGCTTTATATAAATTAATATATAGTAATACATATATGTAATTCTATGATAGCAGGCAGTTACATAACTTTTATCAAACTGAATGTTATCAGTGGGCACGTTACTAGTATTATTGGTGCAACAACGAACGTTTTCTTACATCATTGTTCTAAAATAGCCTGGGTTCTAACCAACGTTCAACGACGGACGGCGTGACGCAGCGGGTCTGTCACTAATGACCGGTAGTTTTCAGTCACCGGACACTGCATATTACAATGACGTTTTCAAAATCAGCCTTGCTGGTACTTCTGGCATTAATGTGTGAGCGGGCTGCCTATTTTACTGTCGAAAACTACGTAAATGAATTATGGGTCGTGAAATTAAGTTACACAGCCGGACATGCAGTGATCGCACATATGATGTTTGTTGGTAAGTGAAAATACGAAAAATAATTGTCACCTTAAAGATGTTATGCGTCCAGTGACAATGGGACTTTTGTCTGCCTGTCTGTTTGTCTGTCTGCATGTCTGCTGAATGATGCGATTATTTGTTTCTGTCTTCTGTCCACGGTGTGTTTGTCTGCGTCCATTTGTACGTCTGTCTGGGCATCGAAAAAAAAATTCCAGATAAGATTAAATCGTGTGTTGTAGCATTGACGCCTTCCAAGTAGTGAATTGACTTGGTGCTAGGAGAGGGGAAACAGAAACCCAATGTGGATTAGGAATTGCTTTGATTGTATGCCTCAGATGGGGTTTTCCTTTTCAATCCCGTGGCAAAACTCGTTCACCCATGAAGTTATGGTTTTGTTCATACTTGCACAATTTGGCAGAAAAACGACACGAATTACTTGGCTAATATTTTCAATTGCGCCTACCTTTTCGTCATTCCACATAGTGACCGCTTCACTTTTGCCTAATTAAAAGACGTTATGTGCATTTGAAGACAAGTTCTGTTATTCGTTCAGACTTCAAAGGGTGGAATTCTTATTTATTGGACAAAACCTGCGTGATTGTCATTTGAGGCCGACTAACCACTGCGATATGACCATGAAGTGCGTCATTTATCAGCTGTAGTTATCTCGATTGCATGCTTATAACAAATGTCACGCTTGGACATGCCCCCGTGTTCTCAACGCGTTGTGGTCATCAGCATCAATGTTCAGTGTAACTGCACAATTACTGTAGATAACACTGTTTTTTATGTCGAAATATACAATCCTAGTTTTATGCCCCCTCCCATGTTGAAGAAAAGATCAAAAGAAGAGGCAGCATCATGAAAACTAAATGTGGCATCAGCCTCTCGCCATTTCTCCAATTCAATTTACCGGTGGGCAATCGACCTTTCGTTTTCAAAGGTAGTTAAAATAAATGGTTTTTGCATTTTGCTTTACAGCCTACAGTATTCAACTCTAACAGATGTTTAGTTGTTTACATATATCAAACCTGAGCGGTGTATGTGTGTGCGTTTGTCTGAGAAAGATAGAGTGGGAGTAACTGTTAAAATAACGGAGGAATTTCCCTGACCCCCCTGCTTTCTGTGCTAATATTGAGGGGGGGGGGGGGCGCACAAACCTATGTGAATGTTTCTACGTCTTTGTGTATGCTTCTATTTCTGTAAATCTAACAGCCTCTCACAAGTGTTCCATTAGTGAATTCAGTACTCATCATCTTTCCTCATTAATTGACAGAATCTTTTAATTACTTGCTTACCGCTTTAATCAGTGTTTTGTTTGCTTTTTATTGATTTATTTTTTGACAGGTGCGTCGCATTGTTTTGGAATACTTGGCGGGGCATTTGCCGACGCATTTTTTCATCCATTACCAATGCTGGGAATAGGCTATATTCTCCTCAATATAGGTAGGTATGACAGGAGAATAATGAAATACTCCTTGCGCATTATACAAAAGCATACACACTGGTGGATCGTGTGTATTCTTATAAGAAGGTGGGGTGGGGGTGGGGTTATAGGAATGAAAAATTTTCCCAAAGAAGACGATGATACTTCCCTATACTGGTATGTAATGTGCAGAGACAGCATTATGTTTGGTTTTGTCCTGTCCCAATGGTTGTGCTGTTTTTTTATTTTGATGAATAAGTAGAACTGATACATCAAAATCTTATTGGCCAGGGCCCCCGATACGCCATTTCGTTGAAAGATATTTACTGTAGCGTAAAAGTATCAAAAGCAAACTATGTGTGTTAATAGTGAGACAAAATCTCAAAACAGCATGTGAATGTCACCTTAAACGTCTTGAAAGATACATATTCACCTTTATGGACATTTTGTTAAATTATTTTTTATTTTTAGGTCTTGTTCTTCTGGAGTCTGCTGGATCTGCGGCTGAGACAAATGTAATGTTAATGTTACCATAGATTTATACAAGTTCCTAATGTGAAAAATATTTCTCCAAGAAACAAAAAGTCTCAAGATCCTCCTGATAGGTTTTTATTGAACGCTTGCCGTTCAGGTCTAATATTTTATAGTAATTATCATGCAAGCACAATTTGATATTATTTGATTTTTACATGTATGATCTAATAGTAGGCAACGAATTTTTTATTTAAAACAAGAAATGAGACATTCTGTATATTCTAGAAATATTCTGAAAATGTTTGGCTTTGATATTGCAGCTCGTGCCCTCCAGAAACATCGCCATAGCAGGACTTGTGATTGCAGCTTTGGGACAGGGTTGTATTGAGGTTGTCTTACCGGTATTGGGCGCTGCACAAGTGACAGACAAAAAGGAGTCGCAGGCGATTTATTCATTGGTACTTAAATCATTTTGTTTAAAGAGAATCAATTGGTATCTTTTCAAAATACTCCAAAACCGATGTTGTTTTTAATGATGCACATCGTCAATGCTGAAGGTCTGAACTGTACTTTTTAAATGTGGATATTCAGTAACGTAAACTGCAATTCAGTTGCTTGATACCACACCATATATGCCTCTCTGGATAACCTTACCATGCGCATAACATACTGGAATATCTTTTGTTATCATACTAATCAATTCAACATACATAAAGCAAAATGGTATCCTGTTGTGATTCAAATGACTTAATAATATAATATATTTGCCACTCGATGATTACCAACATGTTTAATCCTTTCACAGGTATTACGTATGGAGAAACGTCGGGGCCATCATCGCTGATGTGTCGCGCGCTGTAATTGACAAGGTCGACATCGAGTTGTACTTGAAATACTTGATAGTTCCAGTTTCAGGCGCTGTGTCGGCCATACTAGTTTTGACGGCCTTTTTGGTGAGAGAGCAGTCATCGAACCCAGACTCCAACCGCAATGAAGGTAAATTGAATGCCACTGAAAGCTACCAACTATTTATTTTGGGTCAACCAAGTTTTCAATATTACAGTCAACTTCCACGTACCCCCTGTACAGGCTGAACACCTCATTATGATACTTCAAAAATTTCCTTTACATAGATGCTTTAGATGAGCTGAACTTACATTGCTTGCATTGCTTCACCAATGTGCCTATCAAATAATGCACATTAATTAAGTGTTATGAATGCTTGCCCAGCGTACAGTGTATTCTTACGTGTGATGTAATCTATTCTAGGTACAGCGCTGCCTAATATTTTGTCATCGGCATTCCAGTTATGTAGAAAAGGGCGCATCTTGAACACATCTTATCTAAGCAGGAAATATCTTTTAAGGAGATCCAATTTAAGAGCGGTTCTCAGGGTTCTGCTGGTCAATTCTGCTGTGGTTGGGTTCGGATTTCTTTACTTGCCGGTAAGATGAAATCAATCAGTCAACCCAGTTACCGATTAAATATCGATTATTCATTCAAAAATTTATAAATAATCAAGCAAAAACTACTCTCTCTCTCTCTCTCTCTCTCTCTCTCTCTCTCTCACACACACACACACACACACACACACCATCTAGCTATTTCATGCAGTACTAGTGCAGTCGTTAACAAGACCAAAGGTCTTAAACACAATTTGACAACGTTTTTGCTAGTATGATGCTAATGACTAATGAATTACAGTAACTAAACGTTATGTTTATTTTAGATGCTAACAATATACGAGCTACAAGCATCTGGACTAAACAGAACTGTGGCTGGGCACCTGTTTCCTTCTCCTTCAACTCAGCTTATCTTGTTTAATGAGGTTGTGGTCGTTTTTGTCATCCCTTTTACTCTCTACTTTCTTTATCCACGGATATGTCCTCGCGGCGGACCGCATTATATAACAAAAACGTGTAAGTAAGGAAACAGAAAATAATACGACATTTTTTATACGATTTTATACTTTATCGGACAGAAAGTCAGATTTTAATACAGAAAAGTAAGCAGGCATTTATATAAATATATAATTAATCTGTTTCAACGTTTGGTGCGCGTGCTTCAATTAAAATTAACAATTGTTTTTTCACCTGTAAACATTTATAAATATATACAAGAATCATGACGTTTTATACAAGAAATACATAGTAATTTTTTTATTATTATTATTATTATTATTATTATTATTATTATTTTCGTAGGCATTGGCGTCGTCTTTTCCATTGTATCCGGGCTGGTCGCCATTATTCTGGAGACAATCCGGAAGAAAAACTGTGAAAACAACCACGGCTATTCCACAATCAGTATATTTGCCCAAGGACCTCAGTACACATTGATTGCACTCGCTGAAGTTTTCACCAAGCTTACAGGTAGTCTGACACGTCTATTTTTTTCTACAAATTTTTCAATCGTTTTTGGCCTTTGCCGTCAATGTATATCGGTGCATGTACATCTCTCATGAGAGCATGACAGCACTTGCGAACGTGTTCAAACAGCTAACGAATGGCCATATTTTGTTTTGAGAATAACTTAATCTTTTTTTCCTTTATGTGAAATTGACATCAGCACGCAGAACAAACTGTCTTTTAACGAAGGTCATAAGATTTGCAGTGTTTAGATTTATTGCGATCGTTTACATAAAGTACTCGGTTTTCAGTTTTTGAATGGTACTCATTTACCTCGCATTCTAAAACCTGTCAGCTTCTCCTGTTTACTTGAAATTCACAACATTAGGACCCATACTCGTTTACGCCACACTTCCATTACTCCCATATACTCAATTCAGAAAACAAAAATGACAGAAAGAAACCATTGCACATTTTCAGTGATGGAGTATTCTTATATGGAAGCCCCTGATGGTATAAAGTGCTTTAGCATGGGCCTACACCAGACGGCGCTGGGCCTTTCATACTTGATTGCAGTTGGAATTGAAGCGTTGGTGATAAAAACTCGGCCAGGTAAGATGCCTATCATGAATATCGAACATATTCTAAGAGGCCATTGTACCATTTATCACAGCCAACTGGTGAAAAATGAAAGATTGATGTCATTCAAAAATGGTTTTACCTTTGATCGACATTTCCAAAATGATGCGTTGCTTCCTAAAAAGATTTGGAATTTTACGCTTACTTTGATGAAGTTTATAATTAGATTTTATGTTAGGAGAATGTAATAGGTTTATTTTATGACGTTTCGTGTACCTAATTCCTGAAAACGCATATAATGTACCAATTCATACTATTCTAGTTACTTTAATTCAGGGACGAGAACAACATATAAAAATATAAAAGTAGTCGTGGATATAGTGTTTATAAAGTACCGGTTAGTCACTGTATGTTATAATTAGATACAAAATTGTTTTGTTTCTTTCTAGACTGGCTTTTGTTTGATGCTCCAGACATTTGTCTTCGTGACGAATCTTACTTGGAAAGTTTCTTGGGCATATTGGTCTTGTTAAGCATCGTTTTCTCGATCATCTTCCCACTGGTTACCAGGATCCCAAAGGACATTTTGAAAAATGATCAGATCAGGATGTAGATAAGCTCGAAGTGAAAGAGTTAATGGAGAAATTGACAGATCTGGTTCTATATGTTTTGCAGTATCCACGTTCTGCTCGCATTTTCTGCCTACTTGCAATCATAAAGCGGCTATCAAAGTGCCAAGCGTGATGTAGTTATAGGTATCAGGACAATTCCCCCCCGGACTATTCCCCCCGGACAATTCGCCCCCAGGACAATTCCCCCCAGGACAATTCCCCCCCCCGACGATCCCCCCCGAATAATATATATTTATATACATATATAAAGTAAAGAGTACAAAGTTCAAATCTTTTGATCCATTTTCAGAATATTTCTTAGTGTGATGATGCAACTGGAGGATAAATAATATTAATTTCATTAAACAAATGACTTTCATGGAGTACAAGTACATATAATTTTCAAAATAGAAGTACGGAACATTTTTTAAAAAACCTGATCAAAGGGTAAACTGATGTTCTCATTCATCCAGGTAACTCTTTGATGAATTAACTGTTACTTTTAATTGCTTTATTACCCACCCTTGATTGAGTAAGTCTTGAATCAAGGTGCACCTCTAGATAGAGGTGGTGAACAGATTTTCTCGCTTATCCAGGTATCCCTTTGATTATTTGTCACTTTTAGTTGCTTGACCATTACCCACCACCCACCACATTCCTGTTGGTCAAGAAGTGCACGAATTGACTAGGAATATATACGAATCTGTTAAGAACTTCACGAATGGATTACGATTCAACCACGAATCCTGAAATTTGTCAGTTCCTGGCGATTCGTGGGATTCGTGGTCTGTGTGAAATAGGGGCCTTACGGGCCCTGGTTATCAAGAATACCTTGTACATATATAAACCAAAATTTACCGTTACATAAAAACGGGAAATCGTTGATACATAAGTGTGTGATTAACCATCAGGAGTGTCAATATTGAATTTGTACAAAAGAAGTTTAAAACCATGTAGCTTAATTTATGTTGTCCAATATCAAACAAGGACAACTCGGTTCGTCATAGTGGAGAGTTGAGCGAAGCTCACACCATGTTGCGTGACAGAGAACTTGTTACATGAGAAATAAGATTTCGAAAAAGATGCAGGGATATCACATATTGCAAGTTGGACAAAGACGACAACTAATAACGCAAAAAGAACTTATAGGAACATCGACAAAAGTGGAAAGAATTGGTGAAACCCGACATGGTGCATTAACGGCCCTTGGCTACCAATAAGTAGTAAAAAGTAGTAAAATCATAAACCTGTATTGTAATAATTAGTACCAGTGTTGTTTTGGTGCATACTTTAAAAGCAGTTCTATTTCTCAATTGTGTTAAGACCTTGGTCATATAGTGCACGAGTTATTACCATGGTCGCCTGGCCTCCGCTCTTATATATGCAACACCCGCAAAAACCTCCGGTGACTTATTGGTGAAAAGAGATGTGTTTACCTCCTGCTCCAACAACAATAAACATGAATATGATATGATAAAATACTCCGAGAGATTGATTTCTAAAAGGTCTGCTATGCTCCATGACATCGCGTGGCCTGTGTTTCTTGTCTTAAAACAAAGGCTTACAAGAGTCGGAGCACTACAGGGAAATATCATCGATTGTGTTCACAAAGGCGATATAGACATAATGGGGAAAATGGCGCTTGCAAGCGAAAACGAAACCGTTAACATTTGAAACGCATAAGACAAAGAGGGTATCAGCTTTAATGTCACGGACTACAGAGACAAATAATGCATACATAGGAAACAATAGTCTGAGATGAACCAAAGTGGTTTCTATCGCTGTTTATTAATAACATACTATAGGTGAACTGGAACGGTTGCTGGTCCTTTAATAGTGATATAGTTAAACCAAACGATGTAAAGAGGCGGAGAGGGGGCGACTAAAACCGTACACTCTAGGGGGCTGTTTGTGCCTGGGAGGATAAATGGTCGCCTGTAACTATTTTAAGGTAATTCAAAAAATGCGAAGCAAGAGCAGTAACGTTAACATAAAAACAAAGTCTGTTATTAAATAACCCAGCCACTTTTTTGGTCACCTAAGAAATAAAACGATTACACTTAAGGCTGCTGAGGTATTCGTACCTTCATTTATATCAAGGTGACTACCGTTTTTTATCTTATTCCAACATACACGTATATATTCACCTCCGGCGTCAAATTGAGATAAAACAAAAATACCTTTATCGTCATTTTCTTCCAATGTTTATTGTATTAAGCGTAATCTAGTGGATCTTTATGTCACAATTAACTTGCATTAACTACAAAAACCGCCGGCGCATTTACATGCAGTTAATTGTTTTGGAACATTGTCAAAAAGACGCCTGGTGTGCATATTCATTCGGCAGAGAAAAATGAATAGAATGAGGTCTACTATACGTTATAATGTCATTTAGTGCAAACTGAATTGAGGACCAAATGCTTCATGCACCTATAGCAAGAAATTTGCTCTATACACGGGCGCAATTAAGGAAGAACTTGAAATAACACGGGCCCTGTAGGCCACGTGGCAACATAACGTGCACATGCGCACATGTACACATTCAACTCTCTTTCTTTATTCTTAATTGTTACAACTTTTAATTTTCCATACCAAATGCGAGGGCTTTCCGAATTACAAATACCGTCCAAACGCTGACTGGAACTGTCTCGGTGCTTTTAGTGACTTTAAAAAAGTTCAGTGTGAAACAGATCGACTTTGTTATACTGCTATCAGAAAAGAGTTATTGGCACTGTAGGAACTTTCAGACAATCGAAATGTCATTACACTTCCAAACAAAAGCGGTCTTCAAATATATACCGAAGCTAACGGAGCCCTTGGCGTAACAGTTTTTGTCCAACCAGAAGAACTGCATTTAAATTCAATAATTGCAATTGCGAAACCGGTAAGCACCATGATTTGAAAGTCACTAAAAAAAGGCAGTTAAGTGACGCTTGCCTTTATGAAAGGGAAATAACAGGAACCCAGATATCTAAATTAACCTTGAATAAATGTCAACCTATTCGAACCTAACAGAGATATTATTTGAGAAGCCTTGATTTTTATCAGAATACATGAAACTGTCGTTTTCCCATGTTTATGTTAGGAATCATGTGCTCTTCCTGTCTTTTTTAAAAACCTTTTAAATATAGATCAACTCAATTCCTTGATAGCCAGGCTGTTCTACATTCCTTTTTTATTTTGAAAAATCAAGTTAAGGTTGTGGTGCGGGTGCCTAGAGGCCACACATTCCTTTGTTTAAATAGGTCTCACGTGGTTTGAACCACGTGCATATTCTACTCTCTGGATGCGATGGACCGTTGGACGATAGAAGTCGAAACAAAGAGTCCAGCGAAAAAACGTCTGTCCTACAAGTTGCGGGGCTCATATTGTGACAAACTACGATCATAAAAAGTCAGATTTGAATGAATTTGGTCTAAAAGTTTTCGTTAGTGTAAAGAATTGTAGACAATGAAATAAATGAGCAAACAAGGATCTGTTAGTAAGCAAAAAACACTGCGGCCATACCATGCCTAAACAGGCATTTTTCTACACAACTTTGTACTGGAACAGCCCCAATGACTACCATAGATATATCATGAAAAGACGGAGCTTCCGTTAATGTGACACTATAAATCTATCTTCAGTGAAGTTGACATTGGGCCTGTTAAGTCTACCCTAGGTTCTAGATTCCGGTATTGCCAGCTCGATCTTGATTTCATATATAAGGCATATCAGCAATACCGGCTCTAGCGAACAGCGGCCATGTTACACTTCCGTCAATCAAACAGAACTGTTCCGCAGTGAATCTGCAGTTGAATGTCATCAGACCAAAATGAAACGTAAAACAGATTTAATTCTGCTTTATTTAATGTTTTTGCTGTATTTAAGATGTAAAGTGAAAAAATAAATAATGTTCTTCGAAAAGAAAAGATATATCCAATGTTTTTGTATTTTTTGCTTATCAAAGAACATTTAGTCCTGAGATATACACGTGCACAATACACGTGCTTGCCGTGTGCCAAATTTGACAGCTACACTGTATGCCCTATACCACTATAAGGGCTGCGCAATGGCTACACCAAAATCAGTTTTTAAAGCAGAATGTATTGTGGCACTGTATTGCTTGTATTGTGGCACTGACCTTCGACTGCAAGATATTTTCAATTCAAACTTCTAACTCCGCGTCAGGCATCTTGTCTCGTCTGCACGAGATAACTTCAGCGCAAGGCGGGAAAGGCAGCTACAGGCGGCCAAACCTGTGACGTACGAGACTTATGACTTCCAAATATGGATCCAGGCGGACACAGCTGTGATGTGTGACTTCCAAATATGGAAGTGCCCCAGGCAAAATTTTGAAGAAGAACGCCCTCAGATTGTCGCTGTTCGTCAGAGCTAGTAAAAGCGACTCCATCACAAGGTAAATATTTAACAAGCTAGCTTTTACGTTGCTCTGACACTCAGGGTAGTTAAGTCAAGTACAGACCTAAAAAGCTATTCATTAAAGCATGCCCAAATTTGTTTATCATTCTGGATAATTCATTAACACTCAAACTACCGGTTCCATGTAAATCATGGTGGTAATTAGATTTGGGTGGCTGGTTTTCATTAAAAACTGTACGACTTAAGAGCTCTATTTTTCATTATTGTATCCTATCCTAGTGTTCAATAGCTGTGTTTTTTCAAGAGTCTAGTCTACGACTGAGCTAGGTGACAACCTTGGTTTTATCTACAAGGCAACAGCTACACTGTCTATTCGTTTTTGATGTGTTTCCCATAAATCAGTGTGAGCCCCTCAACCACGTACCGTGATTCCAAAGACCTTTAGTCTGCTGACCCGGCGTAAACTTTCGAGACTGCCTCAAAGTAAATAAAGATAAATAGGCATACAGTTGTGGAAGACGGATTTAATATTTTACAGCAGTTGCGACTTGGTCTTTGGACCTGGAAAATTTCAGCATTATAAGCCCATAACATTTTTCATGTCTGTCAACGGTAAGCTTTCTGACCATTTGATATGTTA